AACCCGCAAGTGGCGTCTGTACTAATCACACGCATCCCGACTAGAAAAATACACCAGGGCACTTATATAGCGTGTTGACTACTCCCGTGAGCGGCTCAGAACGCGAATCGATGGTTCAGGCGAATCAGAGTCTGGCATGGCACCTTACCCGTCAATCAATCTTCTGGTCTGCCTGGACCGGGACGTTGACTTGAAAGCTTGGAACATTTGTGTGGCGCCGTCGAAGTCTGTTGAAAGGAGTTGGATTCGGAGACAATAACGCTTAAAGAGATAGAGTATCGACTAGTCAGCAAAACTTACAGAGATGACGACAAGCCTGCGATTGCGGTTAAGAGAGATTGGGGCGGAATCATTACACATTGCATGGGTAGTCAGATGCACGATGTGTCCGAACAGATTCTTGAGTTGTGCAAAGGTGTCTGCTTTTTTGTGGTGCCGTGCTCTGTTAATCTTAGGAACCTACCTACTCCGACGTCGCACGCCATCGCAACTTCGGTAGCTTCAATCGATGCAAAATTAATGAAGTTGGCTTGTCAAAACTGGGACCTGGGTGCCCGAGCTTAAAGCAAGAAGACATACGTTGCCTTGAGGCAAACCATTTGATAGGCTATTTGAGCGGCAATCTTTGCCCTGACTGGGCTATGTCACCAAAGCGGAATCTTGTCTAGATTAAGCGTAGGGCCAAGCTATGTCCACGACAGTTGCGCACAGTGTACTGTTCAGGAAGGGGGGAGGGGGGGCTGGGTTTGCAAGTGAAGTACAGATATGCAATCGCATTGCCACGATGGCTCCAGTCTGGATTCGAACGCGTTCAGACACGCGCTCACATCGGTGTCTAGTATGATTGTCCTCCACAATCAATGAAGTTGAGGCTGTTACGGACCACGAATTAGGCTAAATTGTGGAGACTTTGAGGCTTTCTCAGGCATTTGCTGTAATTCGATACATTCTGCCTCGCATCCTCTTCTGGCGGCATCTGACGCGCGAAGGTGCTCGCGAATCCTGTCTGCTGCACAAGGCGTGATTCGGTCTCATGACCGCGGCGGTGATCTGTCAGATCATTCATCATTATTTCCCTGCCTCCCCCGCCCCCGCATCTTCACCCTCCATGAGTCATGTTTCAACCTTCTTCCAATGGAACGCCCTTCCCGTGGAGATCTCTCTCATGATCCTTGGGCTGCTGGATCCCTACGACATTCTCGCTTGTCGTATGGTAAGCTTGGTCCCTTTGATGAGCAAAGATCCAAACTTGCCAGGCTTCGAGATCGATGTGGATGCTAAGCAATCAACTTAGCTTATGGACTGAATGCTTGCGCAACCTCGACGGTCATGGATTCTACCCACATTCCTCCGAAAGTCCATCTCTTTCCGAGCTCGAACGCACCGCCACGGCAGGCCAAAGATTTACCCGCCGATTCCAGCGACACATCTCACACGATCATTTTGGTCCCTTCCCTGCACTCAAGCGATTGTACATCGAGCCTGCTGATCCCGAGGAGGAGCTCGAACATCTGCGGATGGTGCCCGGCGGGAGGTTTCTGTTAACCACTCATGATTGCATCGTCCGGCTGTGGGATCTGACGAAGCCCTCATCTGGACCGGTCTCGAGCTTAGAGATCGAGCCTGCGAGCTTTTTGATTTCCGTTTGGGTGAGGCTCTCTCCGCCTCCGAATCACGATCCTTTAGTCATCGTTGCGAGCCAAGAGGCAGAGTGGGTCTCATCAGTTTCTGCGTGTTGCACAATCTGAATCGACAAGCTTGTTCCACATTCATATATTAACGATCAAGCCCGAAGGACAGTTGGTTGTAGAGCACCCAATTCTTGCGCTGTCCATCCCGACCTCGGAATTTGCGTGGATAATCTGTGCGACTGCGAGACTCGTCGCGATCCAACTGGGACACAAGCTTATTGTGTGGGACAACCAACGAGATTTGTGGATGAGCTGGGATTTGAGCAGCCTCCAAGTCCCGAAGACTTCCCAACGGGTTTGTGCCTGTCATTTCCAGATCTTATCCTTTGTTCAGCATCCGCAGACGGCTTATGTGTTCGATGGGAATATCGCAATATTTAATCCCGACGAGAGCGAACTCACCACATCTCGGATTCCGTCCCTTGAGCCACGCGCTTCGACTGCGACTCATCCTCCGCTGTTGAAGGTAGCACCTGATATCTTGCAGCGATACACTCTCTATCGCTTCAATTCCCTGCAGCGGCTCACAAATTCTCCATTTGCGGGCGTTACACTTGTTTTCCACAGCCCGGAAACCAGCACACGGGAGCGCCCGGTCCGGGTCGACGTCGTCAGCTCTGACGAGAACGAAAATGTGATCTTGTCTTATTTTGTGTTGATAGCAGAGACCGATGGCAGCCACCCGAAACTCGTTGCTGTCGGAGAAAGTCAGCTGGCTGCATGGTTCGATCTGTGCCACTCCTTTCACCTGGAATGGATATCCTGCGATACGGTCCAATGTTTCATCATTGAAAGCACAGTGCTTCACGTCGTCATCTCACAAGTGTCCTTCCCTGACGACTCACTCCTTCATCGATCGTACCATTCCGTCGCAGGGGTCCTGGGCACAGCCGGTTCCATCTTGGCCGGAGATGCAAACGTTGACTTTTGTTCTTTGTCTGGTCGCATTTGCGCTCGAACGAAAGTCGCGGAGGGCGAGGGATATAGAGTTGCGGTCTTGGACTATGTTCTGTAAATCTGCTATCTGGATTGAGAAACATCGATTGACTTTGGTTGAGATCGGACGGACGGAAGGCAGCAATTTCATTTTGGGCGAAACATATCCTAGATCTACTTACTCAGGTGAAATGCACGGCTCTTCCAAATGTTCACGCGTGGATTCAGCGGGAGCCGCCAGGAATGGTTCCCATCGCGAAGTCAGATTCTACGGAACAATCAGCAGGCTCTTGTGCTGGTGAGAAACTCGTTGCGTGATATTTTCGACGGTGTGGCACACTCGACTGATAGAAATTATCCCGTAAGAATGTGATATCAACATCTGGAAACGGAAAGTTCGATTTCAGCAGGTTTCCCAAGCGCACGTGTGAGACCGGATGTATCCTTGGCGTTGAAAGCAGGGTACGGCCAGCGCACTGTGTGTGGATGACTCGCTCCGATCTCGAATCCGCTCAGAGAATAAAATCAACGTAGTAATCGGTGTCGGACTGCGGGTGTCAAAGTGCTCATCCCAGACGTTCGAGAAAAGTCACGTTGTCGTTGGGCGTCGGTCATCCTCGAGACATGTCAAATCTAATCTAATCTTTGACCAATCATACGACTGTTCCTCGGAAACCATCAACACATCACTCGAAGGGGGATATTCAGGAGCCCCTAGAAATTCAACAGGTACCGGTCGGCGGTGCATCGGAACGCGGGAAACAAGGGATTGCCAGGGTGAGATAAACCACGAGGCTCTTTGCTCGTGTAAACACAACTGGGCGCCGACAAGACACAGATCATGTAACCTTGTACTTACCCTAGTTTCCGCATTGTCGTTTTCGACGACACACCGTTTAGATTTCACACGGCTCCGGCGGTGGCCCGACTATGACCCCTTATCGGCCCAGGCGCAAAAATAAAAGCAGGCCTGGACCTTGGACGTCGGCACCAACTCTTTTGCCATGCCCCACATAAAAATCAAGAGCAGTGCCGGCTCGGGTAACTTTCACTACACCATCTCGACCCCCAAGAATCCGTCGGCCAAATCGATCGATAAGACTCTGCCCACAGTCTTGTTCCTGCACCCGGTTTACATTGCATCGGACATCTTCGAACGTGGGTCCGGATTCCCTTTGCATTTTTTTCCGGCTGACTCTCGCGACAGTCCAGTTCGCCGACACGAATCTGCGGAGATTCAATCTCGTTGCGCTGGACTTGCGGAGTCATGGTGACACTTCTGCCAAAGTTGGGTCGACTTACGGGCGAGATGAGGCAGCGTCGGACATAGACAAGTTTCTGGTGCGTCGAGTCCTCCGATTTCAGCTCGCTTCTCTGACAAATAGTCCAGGATGCACTAAAGATCTCAGCGTGTCATCTGGTGGGCGTTTCCATGGGATCCTGCATCTCGCTCCAAGTTGCGATATCATATCCTGCGAAAGTGCTTTCGGTCACGATGATCTCTCCGCTGCCTTTGATCGAGGTGAGTGGATCTATATCGCTTTTCTCCCTCGTTTCAATCGAGCTCTCATGTGAGTGATCTCAGCCTCAAGACGTCGCGGAGGGTCGACAGGAAATTCACGACTGCTGGTGCGAAGCATTCCAGGGAAAGAGCGTCGACAAGCTCGCACTGCAGGATGCTGTCCACGGGGCACTACAGCTGGGCTTCAATGGAGAAGAATCAAGTTTCAACCAAGCGTACGTTTTCAATTATTGCTGCCCTCGAATTGTCTCATCGCCCAGATAGGCTTATCTCCCGAGTCTTGCCAATCGCGACGAAGAATTGGGGCTCCAAATCAAAGTTGGAGGAATTTCGCACCGTCACGGTCGATTTTTTCGTCAACCGCACAGCGCAGACTCCCGACGCAGTGCGCAAGATACGAAGTCCCATCAAGCTCGTCCACTGCGGGGCAGATGTTGCTTACGGGATCGACTATTCCAAGGAGGTTCTTGCCTTGTTGCAAGGAAACGGAGTCAATGCACAGCTGTTAGAGGTTCCTGATGCTGCTCACTTTGGAAACGTTTCGAAGCCACGCGAGTGAGTGCGATTTATCGCGCTGTGCACTACCAAGTTGATCTAACGCCACAGAATCAACGCACTGATTTATGCTACTGTGATCGAGAACTCCCCGAATTTCAACATTCCACCTGCCTCTGCCAGCGTCGTATCCCCCTTCACGGCAGCCTTGGTCAAAGCAGGTTATCGCCTCAATGACACTGATTCAGACTCGGATTGATGTCTTGTCGAGTCAGCAGGTGGACTATTTGTTGGGTTTCTCGTATTCTATTATGAGGTTTATTTGTTGCATTTTACGACGATCAAGATATTTCTCTGTCCATCTCTGCCCCTGAATTTCATTTTACGTTCGACACCATGAGCCAGTAACCTTCAACTACAGCGCAGTTCTGGGAGCACCTACGAGCTGTGTCTGTTATCATTACCCTCTTCTCTTCGTTTTAGGTGAGCAGACTCCAAGCGCGTCACAACCCCGAACGAAGAAGGCTGAGATCGAGCTTGCGAGGCGCATGCGCCGGTTAGAGGTCAGCTGTCCATTATCCGGGTTGAATCTTTGAAATCTGTGGACTGCATGCACCTACTATCTATTTTGAGCACCACACTATTCTTAAGTAATGAATAACGGATTTTCGAAGATAAGGAACGCGAAAGCTGATCCAGTAACTCTTCCACAGCATACATAACTGATGTTCAGAATCCAGTCTACCACACTAAGGTGGAGCCAGCGATTGCCGAGCGCTAAGCAGTAGCATGACCGCACGAGGCCGACCGCATGCCCCGGGAATGAAACGACAAAAGGTCTGGAAGACGATGGAAGCACAGAGACAAGGTCGAGCGCACAGCCTCCAGTTAGTCATCACCAAACACCCTCCAAATAGGGCAGGTACAGCTTCTTCTTCCCTGACCACCACCACCATCGTCGTCTGCCCACTTCCATCCAACTCGTGAGTCCTTGTATCTTTACAATTATGGGCTTTTCTCAGTGCCTCCTTCTCCTCATCGCTCTTTATCGTGTCTGCATCGCTTTTGTGAATCCCGCACTACTCTTTCACCGATCTACTGCGATTCCGCGATTTCAATCGATATTCAGCCCTTTCCCGTTCAGTTCTCCCATCAGCAATGGCTTTGAAGCGTATTAACAAGGTGCGTTGGGTTGTCTCGCCGATGCATCTCCCTCCGCCGCGAGGGCGTGGTGCTTACAGGGGCTTTGTGCGCTTACTCGTGGATTTTCCAGGAACTACTGGATCTTGGACGAGACCCCCCGTCCTCCTGCAGCGCCGGCCCCACCGGGGAGAACATGTTCCAATGGCAGGCAACCATCATGGGTCCGGTGCGTCCTTATCGCCGGCGCACCGCCATATCGCGCGACACCTGCTGATTACCTCATATGTAGGGTGAATCTCCCTACGCTGGCGGCGTGTTCTTTCTGTCGATCAGCTTCCCTACGGATTACCCTTTCAAGCCTCCCAAGGTCAGCTTTACGACCAAGATCTATCACCCAAACATCAACGCAAACGGGTCAATCTGCTTGGACATCCTAAGGGATCAGTGGTCCCCGGCATTGACGATCTCGAAAGGTATGTGCATCTTTTCTGGGCTCCCTTGTGCAGTCTACATGACCTCACCTATCTCTCGCTCCCGTTGGTACCGATCGATGACTCATGCTTTATTTAGTGCTGCTCTCGATCTGCTCAATGCTGACTGACCCGAACCCCGACGACCCTCTTGTCCCTGATATCGCGCATTTGTACAAGACGGATCGCACTCGGTACGAGGCCACTGCTCGGGAATGGACACGGAAGTGCGTGTACAGCGTTGCTTAGGCGTCTGCCGTGCTAACCCCGATCTGCCAGGTATGCAATGTAAGACGCCGGTCTACGTTGGCGCGTCCTTGTGTAGAATATGTCAGCTCCTTGTACTTTTCACGGCCTTAACAATCAGCATCGGCTCTGCTCTCATGTATTAGGCTCTGGCTCGAGGATTGGTTTCATGAGGCGCTATTCTGTGATGGGCAGCGCCTCTCTTGATCTCGAAGGTTACAACGCTAGAGGGAGATAGATCACAACTGCCCTGGTCCTAAGCGAATGACCGCGGCATTGCCGCATCATCCGGAACGATGTTCCGCTCACACCCCACCCACTACTCTCATCATCCTGCTACTGTAGTTTTATTTCACGCGGCGGCCCGCCCTCTGTTCGCTGCGAAAGCCCGACCAAGAACCGGAAATGCTTTCGAGCCATCGTTTGCTATGCGCTTTGCGAGTCGCAACGTTTTTGTGATGCAGTCGGCAATATCGGGACTTGGCGCCCATTGCCTTTGCCCGAAACCGCCTTGAGCGGTCATTCATGGCAGTTGTCTTGTCTGACTTTCAGGCGTCTCGTGAACACCCATATCGATCTACTTCCGGCCTCCTGGACTCCATGCAACCAGTGTCGGGGAGGTGCGAATCAGGAGCATTGCGCAGGTGGTGCAGGCGGGATCGTACCCTTGCTTGACGGGTTCCTTCCCTCATACACCCGTACGACGCGTCTCTCATCGAACGCGCCGCGCCATGACATCGGACGATATCCGTGTTGCTGTCTTCAGACCCTGCGCCGACCGCGTCCGCTTCCGCGACGCCAACCTGATGCACTTCTGCTCGGCGGACATCATTGAATGGTTGTCAGCAGACGCAGGTATCAGCTACGATCCCCCTTCTCGACGACCAGCGAATGCGTGTCGTGATACACGGTGCTCAAAAACGCTGCAGAGACGAACGTGACGCTTTTCGAATGGAAGAACGACTGGCCGCGTGTCGAAGTGCGGAAAACCGTGCCGAGGCAGGGTGTGTGAGAGCGTGGTTGCGCGCCGAATCGGAGATTGGGTGTGAGTGCGGATCCCTCCATCTTCATGTCCCAGCTAGTGCGTAGGAGATAACATCGTACAGATGCAAAACGACGATCTTCGGAAACGTAGACTATCGATGAATCCCGGACATGCATTACCCGGGTATCATGAAAATCTTACAGCCTGGCCTGGATCGCATGCGCTTGGATTCTTGGCAAGTTGTTAACCTGTACTTGCGTGCGTGTCCCCATTTTTCACTCCAGTATCTCCTGTGATGAGCTGTTGTTATGGCTTTGATTCGTTTAATCATGTAGTAGGGATTCGGAGATTCGATTTTGGTTGCCGGGCTTCTTTTGCACTCTGGTCCGCATATGAATCGATGCTGCGTGATTGCTGTATGATTCAGAACTCATATCCCACAACGTAAGCGAGGCGCTCCGGGAGTAGGGCAGAGACACTAAGCTAAGCTATCTTCGGTCATTGTCAATGTCGGGACTTGCAAGCAGCCGGGGAATGGAGGAGAGCTAGATTGTTTGCAGGATAAGGTGATGAGCAGGACAAGGAGCGCTACAGATAGCGTGTTTACACGCTATGCATCGAGGTATAATTTCTTTCTTTCGATATATCCCCGAGATCGCATCTCCTCCAATCTGGCGCATTCAGGATTACTGTTGTAGATGGAATACGCATCGGAGAGCAGTGTCTTCAGTTTCTAGGAGAAAGTCAGGACAGGTGATCAGCCCCCCGGGAAAAACCGCACCGCGATTCGTTCGGGAGTAGGAGGATGAGTGCTGAGAAACTTGGGTCGTCCGTGCTCTAGTTTGCCCAGGTCCTCGAAGACTCTGCAGGTCGCAAGTCAGATTGAGTATAGCGTGGGTCAAAAAACGTCACCTCGGGGAAGCTCCGGGATTATAACAAGCTCTGGCCATGAGTTGCAGCCCAACGATGTCAGCTGGCAGGGAAAGATGAGCTGGGGATCATAACTCATAAATGTGACTGATCTTCACCTTCTGTCTCAAGCGCCCGGGAATGAGGCAACGAATAGAGATATTCGGCCAGAAACGACGAGGAAATGACACCCAGCCCGGCAATCCACATTAGGCCGATCACAGGGAGCATCAACTTCATCTGGGAGAGATGTTCAGCGGAATGACGCATTGCGACGTGCCCGATCTCTGGTCTGCCATGAGTGAAAGGACAGGAGAAATCGAGGGTTAGAACACACCGTGACCAACGATGGCAGCCAAGCCTTCCTCGTCTTTGGCGACAGGCATGATTCCAGTCGAAACACATACCAGCCCGGGGGCAGCAAACGCGTTGACGAAGGTTCGATCGTTCACCACGAGCACCGTCCATTCTTTCTCGGGGTGCATCGTTTCAGTTTGTGGAATCTCTGTGCCATCCTGCGCCCATGATACATTTGCGCCGGTAGGCGACTCGCCCTTGAGGTGACCCAGGTCGGAGGCGGTGATGATGCGACGCGTTATGCGACGGACGAGCTGGGAAAGCGGGTGGTCGTAGGGAAGTATCTGGTCCTTGTATGCCTCCAAGGTCTCCTCCATAACCACTTTGCGGAGAAAGTCCTCTTCTGCTTCGCTAGCGGCCATGAACCGCCGTCGACCCGTGATGGGCGCTTTCTCGAGGCTATTGGCGAGTGAGATTAGGTCGGCAAGAGCCGTTGGGGGGATGAGCCTACCTTGACACGTAATAGCTGCCAAAAAGGATTCCAACACTGACGCCTAGAAATGTAGTAGATGTGCGATCGAAAAAAGGTTTTCTGGGGGTCGGCCTGTCATTGTGGTGGGTCGAGTACAGACGTGAAGGAGGCCGGCGCGGTGGGTAGATCGGCTTTAGTTGGGGCCGCGTGCGCGATAAGAGCCTGCAGAGGATCTACATGGGATAAAGTGAGGCCATTTACTGGCCTTACAGGAGCATACCATGCGGCGCAGATTGGATCACAGTCCTCTCGGAGTCAAGCCGTATTCAGCAGAGTTGAGAGCGAAGATTCGAGTTCAGAGTATGATCCACTGAGCATAGAGACTGGACATATGTGGTGTTCGTTGGACTAGAGTAAATCGCCGCCAGTTACCGTCTGACTGATAGCTGCCGCGTCATAGCCTGGCCAAATAAACAATGATAGCCAACACCTGAACTCTAATTTAGGAAGTTCGGGTTGAGATGGATATCCATTTAATTCTGTAACGCCCCTATTTTCTGCAGTGAGAAAACCTGCTCTCGAGCCTGATCCCCGGTCCGACCAGGGAATTTGCCGCGTTCAAATTTAGCCACATGCCCTCCGTCACGAAGATTCTCAGGATCCCGAAGCATCGCGAAAAACGTGACTCGAATCATCGTGTCTGATAACATTAGCGATCCAAGACGATTGGATTTCAAATAGCATTAGGAAACGAGCTAGGTATGACGCATACAGCACTCAGAAGAAAAGAATCAAGGTCCGAACCAACTATCCATCTCCTCACTTCACTTTGTCCAGTTCGATCTCGCCTTCAGGCGTTTGCCGTCGGGCAAAGGGGCCGTCGGCATCCCAGATGATCTCGGTGGGAATTGTTAAATCGGAGCGAACAGGAGGAGCCGTCACCGGGGAGTCAAAGGCGACGACATATGTCTCGCTCGCTTCGTTGAGGCTCTTTCGCATCGCGCCGTGAGCATTGGTCTTGTGACGGAGCATATTCGCTCTGACGTCTGCGAATTTTTAGAAATGAAAGCAGGATACTGTGAGTCGAAACACGCACTGAATGATTTTGAACAGCCTGGGTGAGTACACGGGAATGCTGTGGAAAGATGCATCGTCATTCCAAGCCTCGTGCAATGAAATAGACTCGCGTACATTGCACAGTGCCTTCCGGTCTACTACTGGGGCCAGATTCAGAGTTAGAAGACCCGGAAATCCTGATCCGATCGGAACCAATGTAGGTAAGTAAACAGAGACAAGAACATAAGACAACGACTGACGGGCCAGGGGACGCTGAGCCGGGTGGTCCGTCGGGCCGTTGTTCGCTGTCGGACTGCATTGCAGGATAATGGTTCCCCAGAGCAACAGTCAAGCTGGGATAGCGCTCGACCGCCGTCTGCGAGAAGTTTGGCGGCGAGTTGTGGGGGATGCCAGTCATTCTGTTTCGCTGATGGGAAAAGGTCGGAGTCTTCTACACAACAGAAACTCTGTACTCACGCAGAAATTTGAGCAGTTTTGCTTCGGTCATCACGCAAGTTCGAACCGGACGCACTTTTATACCTTGCTGACTGGACCTCCGACTCCGAAAAAGAGATCATTTCCCGCGTCGAAGCCACCCTCTGCGATCCAGCCAGCTCGGGAAGGTTCGATCTGTTCGTGCCTCTGAGATAAGGTCGGCGAGGGCACGGTAGCTGAAGGTAGAGAGGAGAGGAGAAAGCATGGGATGATCTCTGCATGTTCCCATCCCGAAGAAGCGCAGTCTCGACTCATGTTCCCGGCGGTTTCGAAACGTCCACAGAGAGTTTTCTTCCTGACAGCTGGAATTCAAGGCACGGAGATAGAAAGAACGACATCTCAATCATCGGTTGACACTAAACGAGCAGTGGTGAGAGCAGAATCCCCAGTACGCGCTATCAGCAAAATAGAAGACCGTAAGCTCCTATTACAACCGGCTAATTTTCTTGCTAGAGTGACAGCCCGGGCACCGTAAGAGAATCAATCGCAAGCAGTAAACGTCAACCGGGAGCAGGTAATGAAAGCAACGTGTGGTCCATTCATACACAGCCACCGTGATCATCTCGGCAGTCTCGTCCGAGTACAAGCCAGTGTTGGAGATGAATGCACAAGAGAAACAATCAAAGACCTCTGAATCTCCTATAGCTGAGTTTTATTACCATTTGGAAGCATTTTGCAAACGGATCCAGAGATTCCGAGGGCAAAAGAAATGTTTAACAGGTCGGTGCCGAGCTTCAGATCTTGACTTGTCGTCACTTGCGTAGCTCGACGCTATGTTCATTCAGAACACCGATGTCAAGGAGCGCTGGTATTCTTACTGCGGCATGGATTCATTTTATCGGGCACTCCCGAAATGGTCATCTCGATGAGCTTCGACGGAGACTACCCGCTGCACGGTGTTACAGGCATATTCTCCGGTAACATGACCCCATCCCGGGGGCCGTGACGACAAACGCGAGGGTCCTGTGGTTTCGAATCTGAGAGGATCATCTTGCAGGGACCGGCGTCTGGCTGGCTCCTTCCAATCACTGTCCCATCGTCGGCGAAAACCAGATCGATCCTGGGAGGCACGAGACGCCTCGCCTCGTTTCGATGGTGAGATGAAGCGGTGAAATTGAGCCATCCCCGCGCACACTCAATACAATCCGAGCACGTGGGAGGGAAGAACGCACCTCGAGCCCGACCTTCGATTGCGCAGATCGGATGTCGTTTTGTCAAGCAAGCTTAGTTTGGATTGATGACCTCACCCGCTTTTACGGACGGGAATGACTGATCGGTGGGGAGGAGACAACGCTGTTAGAGAGCAACGTGTTTGACCGAAATGTCCGTCTCCAGATGGCTCTGAGTCGAAGGTCAGTCACGGCGAAGTCCACGGGTTGATCCAATGCTTCTCGGACGCCGGAGAGACCGGATCAGAGCGGGCCGCCGAGTTCGATTACAAAATGCAGATGACAATAGCCACACAAAGCCTTGGCGCGAAGCGCAGTCTTTCCGTCGACCGCTCTGTGAGACAATCGGATGGCTCCCCATCGCATTGGACGACCAGTTGGAGGGTGAATGATGGTGAGCAGCTGATTGGTCGTGACCTCAGCAGCAGCCTCCGCAGGGCTCAGCCAGGCCTCAGCCAAGTTTCTGCTGGCTACCATCATTCGATATCGGAAACAGTTCCTGCGCCACGCGATAGCTCCAGCCAGCCGGGACCAATTCTCTCCAGGGACACATGAGCGTTGTGCGATGCATTTGGGCCTGGGCTTCCACAATCCAAATGCGACGCTTTTTTTGCGAGGGCCGACGTTTTAAGCATTGATTCTGAGATGACAACGTCCATCAACTTCCCTTGTAGCGACCACCTACATGGCCTGCCGTGATATGCATTGTCCACCTGAAGAATAGTACTTCCGGCCTCCGGAAATCTTCCTGAATGGCAACGGAGATGGCGATTTTCGAATGCTATAAAGGAGAAAATCGCGTAGGTGGACGGTTACGGTCTCCCATGCGGTTCTCTCTGTCCCTCTTTGCGCTTTTGGGTGCCGCGGCCAGCAGAGTGCAGGCGCTGAGCTACCACGGTGCCGACTTTTCGTCGCTCATCAATCTCGAGAACTCGGGCACTCGATACACGGATGGAGGGTCGCCAGTAGCTTTCGAGACGATCCTGAAGAAGCACGGGGCAAATCTGGCGCGCATCCGGGTGTGGACCAGCACCACCGATGCGGGTTACAGCTTGAACTACGGGCTTCGGTTGGCCAAGAGAGCCCATGCAGCGGGAATGACTCTGATGGTCGATTTGCACTACAGCGATACTTGTGAGCACCGAATCGCAGTGTGTTGCGCTCGCTGATGACCTACTCGCTCTCAGGGGCGGATCCCGCCCATCAGTCGATTCCTTCGGGGTGGTGAGTGAAGACTTCCCGCGCGTTGGCATGTCCTGATGTAAACAAGGCCGACTACTCTGTCCGGGCTTAACACCCAAATCTACTCGTGCATAACATCTCTATCCGCGCAGATAGACACTCATGAAGCCATGCAGCTACACCAAGAATGTGGTCACCTCCTTTGCGTCCCAGGGCACGCCCATCACATTTCTGCAGCTCGGAAATGAGATTAACAACGGTCTCCTGTGGCCCGTTGGACAGATCTCTGCTCACGGATACTCGCCTGCTTCGCAGCTGCTTCACTCCGCAGCCAGCGGCGCGCGGGCGGCCTCATCCTCTGTGCGCACGATGATCCATCTCGCCAACGGCTGGGATGCGTCAGCCATGTCCTCCTTCTACAAGCAGATCTTCATTCCTGGTCAGCTGGTCCCCGCTGACGTCGACTCGATGGGATTCTCTTTCTACCCGCTCTATGGCCCTGGTGCGACGTTTTCCGCACTGAAGACATCACTTCAAGGGCTGGTAAACAGCTACGGCAAGGTGCGCCGCGAATGCCGGCTGGCAGGATGATGCTTATTATCATCTCTAGGACGTGATGGTGGTCGAAACCAACTGGCCAGCAGCTTGCTCTGGAGTGAAGCTCAGTGAGCCGATTGCCGTCTCTGCTGCCGGCCAGGAGACCTGGGTCAAGGACACTCGCACCATCCTCCAGGGCATCTCTGGATCTCATGGAATCGGTCTCATATACTGGGAGCCCGGCTGGGTAGGTGCTCCATCCTGTCCCCAACATTTCCTAAATGTCAACAACCAGGTCGGAAATGCCGCCCTTGGCTCTGGTTGCTCGGTAAGCATTTCTGGCTGTTCATTTGTTGCCCGACTAAAGTAATTGCCGCAGGACAACCTGCTCGTCGCCTATCCTGGAGCGACGCGCAGCTCGATCAACATGTTCGCTAATGACATGTAGGGTCACATACCACATTACATACCCTATCTATATAATACAACTAGTAATCGCGAGCGGGAATGAAACTTGCAATTCGGAACACCTACTCTGGTGATATCAGGTGGCTGTACAGAAACACGATCACATGCACATCTAAGACTGGGATACAACCATACGAGTAACATCATGTTCGAACATATGCTTCAGGGCCGGAACATCTCTCCGACGAGCGAAGCGAGCTACATTCTTCTGGGAGCTGGCCCTGAGCGGGTTGGAAGTCGCTACGTTGTTCCACCCAGTTGTCGCTCCTCTCGCGCGTGACCAGTAGCCGGAGAAATATCTCCAGCACGGATCAAGAACAAGGTCTAGATTCGATTGGTAACCTATTGCAACCCGGCCAGTGGACCTATGGGGGAGTCGAGAAACCAACGATGTTCCTGCTTGACATCCTGCGGGGAGTTGTCTATGTGAACTTAATCCGACGAGGGATTGCCGGAACTTTCCCATATGAATATGCTTGCAGTATGAAATTTCGCAGCTACGCCCGGACGCGAGGAGACGAGCACATCTCTACTTTCCGAGCACCAAGCAGCCCAACCGTCCGTACGTTGACGAGTCAAAAGCTGACTTCGAGGTACCCAAGTCATACTTCAAACTTGGGTTCATAGGCATTCGATGTCGCCGATCCTGGAAGAATTCTAATTGGGCGAATGTTGATCGATGTCCATCACTGTCACAGTGATGTCGCGTCCCTGGCCAAGCCCTTTCTCTGTCGCCCCACTTTCTACGACTAAATTCCGGGTCACGACTTGTAAGCACATTCTTCATGGCTGGCAAGCAGGTATATACTTCCGCCACACTCTCCCTTATGACTCAACGCTCACGCCTTTCCAGCTGGGAAAGTTCAGACAAGTACGTGTGCCATTAATAGCGGCGATACTGCGAAGCATAAAGACTCCGACTCATCCGGCCACTTTTTGTCTGCTAGTGGGCAGGAGAGGTCATTTCGTCCCGGGACAAGACGACCGTGTCGGACGAATTCAAAGAGCTCGAGCGGGACGTCGAGCATCGGAAGGAAGGAGCGCATAGGTGTGTCTGGGGCTCAAGTTGTTTGCTGGCCATTTCACCGAAGGCGCTATCCAGAATCTTTCTAGCCTCCGAGGCATACCACAAGCATCTCTCCAAGCGGAAGGATAATCTGGCGCTGGACGAATCAGATAAACTTCTCCCGATCGAAACGCTGGGCGTGTGCATGGTCATCCACGGAGAAGAGTTTCCGCAGGATTCGCCATTCGGTATGTCTTTCCAAGGCCAACTCGGATTCGCTTCCGAACTTAGCACTCTTTCCAGGAAACTCCCTCGTTTCACTTGGCCGCGCGCACTGCAAGGTGGCAACGTTGCAGGAAGGGTTCGCCCAATCATTCCAAGATAACTTCATGGGTTCTCTCGTCCGTTTTGCGGAGGATATCAAAGAATACGAGGCTCTGCGCAAGAAGCTTGACAGCCGGAGGTGCGTCTCTAATGTTAACGCATGACATTACATACTAATGAGCGTAACAGACTCAGCCTTGATGCTGCTACAACTAAATTTGAGAAGCTCAAGAGCGGGAAAAAGGAGCGCGAGCGGAAAGAGGCGGAGGAGGAGATGAATCTTGCAAAGATGCGCTAGTGAGTTCGGATCATTGTCACCCACGCACGCACCACACTGACCTTCCTGAAAGCGAAGAGACGTCAGACGAGACGGAGGCCCACATGCATGCGATACAAGAGCATGAGATTGCGCAATGTCGCGATCTTACTGCCCTCTTGACGCTGGAGATTGGTTTTGTGGAACAATACCTAGAAGTTCTAAAGGAAACGCGAGCAGACTGGCCCAGCGAGTGAGTTCCCGGGCGTCTTAAGCGTATATTGGCTGTCTGACACACACCAGTTCGCCCCGTCCGAAGCCGGCTCCGTATCCGACCACACCAAAGCAGCACAAATCAGGATCTGTGCGGTCGAAACGTTCGGTCGCACGCGTGCCTGACTTCTCAGAGGACGACGAGGAGGTACCTTCTCGGGCACCGAGCCGACCGCCCTCTCGACCTAACTCCCGCGCGTCCCGGAAGCGAGCGGAAAGTGTTGGTGACAAGGAGAAGGATAAAGACAAAGAGAAGGAGAAGGACAAAGAGAAGGAGAAGGAGAAGGAGAAGGAGAAGGACAGAGAGAAGCGGCGAATGAGTGTTGCTGGCTGGGCGTCAAACGCTGTTGGATCTGCCATGGGTTCTGTCGCCGGCCGGGGAAAGAAGGCTCTGGGCATGGGGGAGAAGGACAAGGATTCCTTTGCCAGCTTGACAGATGATGGTGATCGCAGTGAATCCATCTCCGACTCGAATGCCAGCAGTCTGGTCGGATCCCTCTCCCGTCGCAGCTCCAAACAGACCGCCACACCCAAAGGGGCGAGTCGGATCCTGAAGCCCCCGTCGCAGGCATCGCGCCGGTTTGTTCGCGCTCTGTACGACTTCTCTGGGTCTTCTGACGAACTGTCGTTCCGTGTCGGTGACCAAATTGTGGTGCTGAACGAGGTATTGGATGGGTGGTGGATGGGCGAGCTGCATGGCAAGCAAGGATTGTTCCCGACGCCGTATACTGAGCCGATGCCCGAGAAGCCTCCGCTGCCCCATCGTGCAGGACGCGACCACCAAGCCGACGGCGACAACACATTAGGCCTGGAGATGGAGAGTGAGGACGATGAGGACATCTTCAATCGTCCGCCGATGGCTGCCGACAGTCCGTTCTACGGTGTCGAAAGCCCGAACATGCTCACGGATGACGACGATGAGGAGCAAGGACTCGTGAGCCGACCTGCTGCTCCACCCATCGTTCGGCGCTCGACAACGAGTGAGATCCCAGCCAAGAAAGCGCCGCCGCCCCCACCGCCAAGAAGAGCGACAAACGTGACGCCCAGCGCCAGTCCTCAGATCCCGGAGCGCCGCCCGCCGTCGCGTGCAAAATCGATCGGATCTATCGGTCGAAGCGCGGGCCTAGCCGTTTCGTCTGAAAGCACCTACGATCGGTCGCCGTTTGAGAGTGCGACCGAGCTGGGACCGAGCCAGAGCGGCTGCATAGATTTCAAGCAGAATCCGTTTAAGGCTCCGGGGATGTGTAGCAACTGTTTCGAGATGCATGCTTAGTACTTACATACAAGTTACGATGATCTAATTTTGACAACTAATGATGACTTTGCCAATCACAATCTGTGTTACCGGAACTTTGCAACAGATTCGACGTCACTTTTCGGATTTCTGGCTCTAACCACGACGACCAACTGTTTGTGACCCCCGGGACTGCCAAGGCCCTTCGGCACATGCCTGTAACGCTGAATAGCCGAAAGATCGTCATCTTAGGTTCCCCTTCAGTGGGTGAGTGACGACATCACTCATTAAGAGAGATCGCAGCTGATCGCGCACAGGCAAGTCGTCGCTGGTCGAGCAGTTCGTGGAGAACAACCATGACTTCTCTGAGTCATATTCTCCGACCATTGAACGAACCTTCCACAAGACAATCCATTTCAGAGGCGTCGACTATCCTTGTGATCTGATCGACACAGCTGGACAGGTGAGAACGTGTTGACCTCGAGTATCTCGTGTCTTCGTTCCGCTGGCTCACGGTCGAGGTGCAGGACGAGTTTTCCCAGCTCAAACCGCAATATGCGATTGGAATACATGGCTACGTATTAGTCTACTCGATAACATCACGCGCGTCCTTCGATTTGATCCGGACCATCTACGACAACATCATCGATTACTGTGGACTGCCCAAGCTGCCCGCCGTCTTTGTCGGATCCAAGGCGGATTTGTACATGAGGTGGGTCCACTCCAAATGGAAACTATATCCGTCCGTTCTGACGTCATCAATCATTCCATGCATCTGCAGCCGCCAGGTCGATTCGCGCGAGGGCCAGCAGCTTGCGCAACGTAACAGTGGGGCCTGGATTGAGACCAGTGCGTTGCGCGGCGAGAACATATGTACGTACTGACCATCCGCGTCCGTTCATATCATCGGAGGCTGAGCCATCCTGTCCGTCAGCCGAAGTGTTCGAGCTCTGTCTCGCGGAAATCGAAAGAGCGAATGCGGTCCCTGTTCAACTTCCTGAGGACCGCGACGGAAAGTGTGCGATCATGTAGCACGACTGGCTCGTCTAGCTTGCTATCAATAGTATAGTTTGAGGAGACCCAATCAGATCAAAGCATCCAAGTGTAATTGATTCCGTCCGTCTGATTGATGAACCCGCGTGGCTTTTATTGGTCTCTCATGTTCCAAGACTCGCCAGAACAGGCTGGAGCATTCGCATAGGAAAGCTAATCGCTTTCGTCAGCCACTCGAGGTCTTCTAAAGAAGAATTGCGTAAGCGCCACAATTATGGAAGAGTGATGTTCAAGTCCTGTGAATTCCCTGATGTTGTTAGCACGGAACTTCTAGCCGTGCTTTCGCGCGACAGAACCTCCGGCACGGATCTCAATATCTATAGGTATCTCGCCGATTGATAATTCTCAGGGAGGGTGAAGGTCGCGTCTCAAAGTCAATTGTGTGCCCGGGCATGCATTCTCATCTGCACGTTTAGTATGTTCTGTCAGATTATTTCTCTGCATAAAATTTCGAGTTCTGAAGATTAACGCGACCCTGACTTGCGGTACCGCCAGGTATTCTAGAAGCTCCGTAGATCAAATGCCGATTCCGGACACTGACAGCGAAGGTGAGCGACATAGCCCAATCCGGCAAGACATGTTTGGTTTACTCAAAGGGGGATCCAAACCCCGCACAAGGTCCAGTATGTTGGGAGCACTTATATGTAACAGCAGCCGCGTCTCGTTACAGTCCACTGTGTTCGTTCTTTTTCCGCAATGTCAACCAATATCAACGCGACCCCAACTGCAAGCCTCAGCCCCGGCGCGTCGTCCTCGCCAGGATTGCCCAAGGATTTTCTCATGGCGACGTACGGAGCCTGGCTCATCGGTTTATTTCTCGAAACAATGTCAGTCACACACACACTGCTCAATCGAGGCTCCTGCGGCTAACATCCACGCTACAGATTGTATGGCTCAGGGCTGCTACAAACTTGGCTCTATTTTATTTGGTGGCCTATGGACGGGTGGGAGATCAAGGGACCGGTGCGTACTTGTTTTTCGACCGCCAGTGCTGTCTCATTGAGACTGGGCCTTGGAAGGTGTTGACTGTTTTGTGCGTTTGTCTCCCTCCATCCTGCTTCATTCACCACTCATACCCGACTCGATCCTTCTACCTAAAGCTGCCTTGAGACTGCTCAAGTCTTGCTTTTCTTCCGAAGCACATGCGTTCGTTTTATTGACAACTTCGGTACATACCAAGAGACTCTGATCTGGTATTTCCTCCGTCTTCGTCCTGCTCGCCCCGCGCTGATGGTCTCCCACTAGGTCGGACTCTTCTCAACTCCTGGCGAATGCAAGTCCACTCTTTCGCCGTACCCATTTGAATGACCTTGCCACAGTATCTGTCCTCGTTTTCGGTTCAACTGTGAGCTCATCCATTTCTCCACGGCGTCCGAGTCTCACATCCGCTAGTTATTTCGCAAGCCGCCTGTATCGACGTCTGTCTTTAATCTTGGATGTCCGGTGTGCAGTCTCGTCTGACCAACTTCTGAAGTCACCGCCGAGGGTGTCCGCCTCTATCGTCCAGCAAGATGGGGAATTCACGTCATTGTGTTCCTCGCATTGCTTCAAGTCGGTGCGTGCTTCCGCTTCAAGGCGATAGCGGCTTGTTATGACGGTTTCTCCAGCGGCGGGGATTGCGCAGACGATTGTCTCGTGGGCTTCATTGTTTGCTTCATTTTCTCTGTCATGACTATTTCAGGTGGCGTGTACACTTCTACGCCAAGCTCGACAGCACCAAGGCCGTGACCACCCTCCAGACCGCGGCTTCCTTCGCATGCGATGTCGGTATCACGGTCTACCTGTGTATTTTCCTTTCACAAAACAAGGGCGGTGTGTTGATGAAGAGGTTTGGGACGGTTGCATTCGTCTTCCGGGGGTTCTTGGCTCACCGTCCCCCTAGGACGCGTCATCTCTTGAACACGCTGATCATAAACGCGATCAACCGGGGAATGCTCACAGCCCTTGCCTCTGCGCTGACGATGATCCTCGTTTGTGCTTTGTCTGTAAACGTTGTTCAAAGTCTGGACGATTCTTGCAGTTCTTGGCTCTTCCTGACACGTTCTGGTTCTTCTTGTCCATGGCGCCTAGCAGCAAACGTCCGTGTCTCTTTTCGAGATACCTGTGCCGTCTCTGACCGACCGATTTTATAGTCTACATGAACAGCATGCTTGCGACGTTAGCCACCCATCCGTCCCACAGCCATTCATATCTGACCGTCGATCGTTTAGGCTGAACATGCGGCAGTATATCCGCCAGTCCATCAACCCTGGCCATACCGTCAATCTGTCCGACATTGCCAACCTCCCGCTGGACCCCGCCTCGACTGTTTCCGCCGTCGAATTTTGTCACCCGGTGAGCTGTTCGAGTCGGTGTTATGTCTGGATGAAGGCGCTCACCGCTACCTTACAGAGCGAAACTGATCCCGACATGGCCAGAAAATCGGTGCTCTATTACAGCTCGGAACTGAACCTCGCTGCTGTCAAACATTGCAGCGACAGCGAGAGCACGAACACGGTCCAGGAAAGCGACTCGATGAGCCGCGGAAATGTGCATACCGTTTGATCCTCTCTATTCGAACTCTTCGCTTCATACACGATGTCTTCCTGTTACAACCCGATCTGCATCAGCCATAGTACCCCCTCTTCCATTCGAAATTCGCAGTTACGTTTTTTTAACTACACATAGTCCTTGATACAGATGTATCCTTGCTTTCATTGAAACAACCAGTGTCCGAAAGGTGCGAGACAAGAAAGATCTATGGATAGGCCGCAAGTCCAAGGATCGAACTCAAATTCGAGTAGCAATCAAAGGTGCAGTCAAAGAACAATCAAAGTGGGTCACAGCCACTTGAGCTGGTCAAAGTCACGAGAATGGTATGCATGACACTCTACGTGATCCCGCAAAGATTTGTCCCGCCCACCGTCCTACCTAATTGCGAATGATCACTGCAATAATCGATCTCTTGAAACCGAGATCGCGAATTTTATAGCTGTGTTACTCTCTTGACTCAAAACGCCATTCGTGCCCGCGATGCATCGCTCGTTACGGGTGGGGCTGGGAAGTCGGCGTGGGCGCAGCTACCACCCACGTAGGGTGGACGGACCAAGAATACATTCTGCTGGGCGAGCAGAAGCGCGGGAATCTGAACCCTGCGACCAAATTGAGCCCATGACAGCAACCTTGACAGTACGTGGCGAGACATTTCCTTGTTCCTAATCGCGCAGGTGAGGAATGACTGCCTCTGCAGTCGACGATCGCTGACAATTTGCTTCTATTGCAGCGCTCCGCGGTGTGCCTTGCGAGACGCGACGCGTCGCTTTCTCTGCGTGATACAAGCGCCGCCACTTGAAGCCCATGGGAGCAGTCTAAGGGTACAATGACAGGAACTCGTGGGTCACCGAGTGTCCGAGACTCGCTGAAGGACATAAATTTCGACCTCAGCCAGGGTCCAGCTCTGATCTATCTTACAATCTGACCGCCATGTTCTCTGCACTCGCGTCCATGCCCTCCACCGACTCGGTGGCCCTTCCAAGGGCATTCCCTCTCTTCTTCTGCGTGAAGAAGTCTTCCCCTTCGCGGAAAACGCCCATTCCATGCGTGAACTCGGACAGATACTCATACTCGATGTCATCCGACGCCCATGGCCCATGCTCGAGCCCAGTCGTCATCCACTGTGAAGCTGTGCTGGCTGATGGTCAAGGTGGGTCTCTTCCTCAGGTCTTCTCTTTCATATCCTTATCTCCCACCAGCTCTGAGTTGTCATAATGTCCCCTTCGATATATTGACGGCTGCGTGCCGCATCGATTCCCTTGCGCCCCAGAGCAGCGTTGTCACTGGTGTCTGCTTTGGCAAGGAGGATCGTGAGTTTCTTCCACCATCGCGCCCGGCTGTTTTGGATTCTGATACCCTTCTTCTCGTCCAGTGAAACAACCACCCTCTATAGCAAAATCCCATCGCTTCCAAAACATCTCTTCTCTTTTCGCCCGTCGCAAGACGCCGCTCGGGAACACCGAAACAGGTCGTTCCCTGCGGTCTCGTCCGAGTTTCTCCACTCGCCGTCGAGCATAATTGTCAAAGGACCTGTACCCGCTGCCCCAGCAGCATTCACCAAGCCGAGTCAACGGACCTCGCTTTCGTGTCGAGCGTTACCAAGTCTGACGCTGTGTGCGCAGGGTGGTGAATGTCATAGCGATTGGCATGTTTATGATACCCGCAATGAATACTTTCACATATGAAATCTCGAATTCCAGCGATAGCAAGGTGGTTGCCCCAATATTACAGTAACTGCAGCCTAGTACCCGTGCTCACCCTTGTTGTGTATACAAGGTTCTCAGTAGCCGCCAACACATTAGTGAACGCGCAAAAGACTGCAATTATGGAATGGTATTGGTGTCTTTTGAGTACAAAGTCCTGCGTGATTACTAGTTCCAAGTCAGAGCCAAGGTATAATCTGGCCAACGCTCATCTTTTCCGCCTGATTGACGACAGCGCACGCAATCGCAACATCCTGCAATCCGATACCCACAGACTTGAAGATCGTAACAGACTGCCTCGTTTGCGCTGGTCCCCGTTTTCTGACCAGTTGTGGCTCCCCGTTCTCGTCCAGTGGAATCAGCTCCCCAATCTCAACGACCTCGCTTCCCTGAATCCCTGCATGGATGAGTTCGCCGGCTTCTTTCAGGCAAGCTTCACGGGAGTCCACGACGAGATCGTGGGGCAGAGCACGGTGGATGAGGTCGCGGTCGACTTCATGCATTTCGGGCTTGTAACTTCCGATCAGGATGAGGTGCGTGCCGTCGTGTACAAGACTCGAAGGAAATAGAGGGATCTGCGAAGATGTGGCGCAGATAATCACATCGGCTGCCAAGAGAGTATCTCTGATAGCGTCAGACGGAGGGTCGGAGGAAGCCTCGTCTGTAGCAGTCATTACCAACGCTAACGCGGATGAACGCAGGCGAACTCACGTTGCTGAAGATGGATCTCAACATGGCTGAACCGTTGCCGTAATTCGTCGACCAGCGTCCGTGCCCGATCGTTCGTGGCACGGTTAACCACAGTGCAGGTCGTCAGTGTCGAGTAAGCCCGGAGGAAGACATCCAGATGTGCTGATATCTGCGCGCCAGCTCCAAATGCGACAATGTTGCGAGGCTCTTCTGGACCCATGAGCGTACAAGAGAGCAGTGATCCTACGCCGGGTATCAGTGCACAGTTATTGAGCTCAGAGTCACTAGAGGCGGACCTGCGGCGTTCCGAAGAGCGGTCAACCCGGCCGCGTTGACGATCGCCTTCACAGCCCCAGTGCCCTCATCCATCACAAGCGTCGACGCGGGCAGTCCCCGTTTATCCGCCGGAGAACTGGGCACTGAGACGACTTTGATTGAGGTACCGAGAAGCCCGACAGGACGCTCTATACGGGCTGGCATAAACAAGATCGTGTGATTTGGCGTAGAGATGCTGCTTCGATGTGGCGCGTACGACGCTGGACTGGCAGGGTCTGAATCTTGGGAGAGGGAGCAAAAGACGCGCGCCATGAGTTTTTGGAGGGCGTCGGGGGTAAATGAGCGCGCTAGAAGCGCGGTGTCTGTTCCGTTGAGACAGAGGAGGGACATCGTCGAAGTTGGGCTAGATCACGCTGCCGGTGGACAGGATGAAGAATGGACGCGGATGATAAGCAGCAGTGCCACCGGATCGTAGGCACATAAAATTCACGATGAAGGATATGCAGACGCCGCGCGCGAGCAATGTAATTGCCGCACATGATAGGACAGCTGATTCATGGCACAGGAGCAGGGAGCGTAGGAATGTTGGCGCACTCAGGAATCAGCAGTAGTCACCGCTTACGCTCGAGTTCGGGGTAGATCTGTCACAAATGTCACACCGCCCTCTTGTTTCGAAACTACATTCTCCACCGAGCGCGTAACTGGCTTATCACGCTATTCTCGTCCTGGAATCGAATCAATAATCCTGTTAAGGCCGCACGCCGCGTGAGATGGCTACAAAGGAGGATCGGGAGACTCTGAGGCTGCTCGTGCAGCATGTCTCGCGTGCTTTTTACGAACCAAAGTACACGATCATCATGGACCAGCTAGCGCGCAACATGGTGTGAGTCCAAGCCCAAGCCGAGCCAGTGGACAGGGCTGGAGCATGGGGTGCTGGTCGTCCCCTGCACCCACCCTGTTCGGCTGCTGGTCGCTCGTGCCCTGTCGTGCTGACTCGGTGGGCTCATTCCTTGTGACGCAGCCTCAAAGACGACGATCTTGCTGGTCGGATGGGGCTGCAGCCGAAGGAACTGAACAAGGTCATCGCGACATTGTCGAATGATAGACTGGTGCAAATGCTCGTGTGCCTTTTTCCCTCATGCGGTGAGGCTCACCAATTGTTCACAGATACAGGCAAAACGAGCTCCGGGAGGGAGCGCAGCGTGCTACGGCCAAGCAGTATTACTTCATCGACTATGAGCATTTCTGCAATGTCGTCAAGTGGAGGATAGCGAAGATGAGAAAGCAAATCGACACGAAAGCCCGGAATGTGAGCGGTCTTGGCGGTTTAAATGACTCTTTCTAATGCTCTAGCAGGAGCTCGATAACAAGGGCTACATCTGTCCGCAGTGCAAGGCTTCCTATACGCCACTCGACGTTGCCAACCTCATGGACGTGACACTCAATCTGCTCATTTGCGAGATATGCCATGCTGAGGTCATCGACAACGAAGACATTGACCTGGTGACTGGAACGAAGGACCGTATGCAACGTTTCAATCATCAAATGCGATTCATACGAGCCGGCCTACAGAAGAGCGAGGACATGGTATTACCTGCGTGCGCTAATGAGTACCCCGACTCCAATATACGAGATCTGAACTGCTCTCTAGCTTCGACGTGGCGGCCTGGGTGAAGAGCCACCAGCCTGATCAATCAAAGAAGGAGACGACGGAGGCTGGCTCAGAGCTCAAGTTTGCGGGTTCAGACGGAGTCCAACGCAAAGACGACGGGGTCGGCATCGTCATCTCAACTGATCAGGATGAAGCTACACGTCGCCGGGAGCGAGACGAGAAGGCGCAGGCGAAACGGCAACAGAACTTGTTGCCCGAGTGGATCAAAGCCAGTACCGTTTCTGGGCAGATGACGGCCGTTGGTATCAAAGAGCTTGCTCGTGCTGCCGCAGCGAAGGAGGCATCGGGGGCCTCGTCGGCGTCGAGTTCCAACGATGACATCTTGCGCGGTTTGGGCATCGTTGGGGATAACAGTTCGCGAGGAAAGGGCAACATCCGTCCAGCTATGATGACGAATGATGCGGTCGATGTGAAGCCTGTGATTGACCACGAAGCTCAATGTGTGTCCTTACAGATCTTGACGACTGCACACTGACCGATCTGTCGCAGACTGGGACAATTACTATGCGAATCTGGGGACGTCTGCCCAGGCGACACCAGCAAGTCTGGGCGCACCTACTGGCTCTGATTTCGGTGTGGAAGAAGAAGACGATATCAAACCCAATATCGAATACCTCGACTCTCTTAACGAGTACAGAAAACGATCTCGTTCGAATGAAGGAGTGGTGGACACACCGAATAAAACACCAAAGCTGGAGTCGAGCGCACCGGAATTCGCCATCGTTCCGACAGTCGAGCAGATTCCAATGGAACCAGAAGTACCAAGGAAGGATCCTATCGTGTATGGTAAGCGCTAGTGGCATGTCGCGAGTTTGGCACTCAGAGTTCACAGTCAATGGCACCCCCATGACTTTTTCGCAAGTCACAGAGGCGGAGCACGATTTGATGACGCCAGACGAGTATACCGCATACTTCCAGGTCATGCAGGACATGGAGCAGTAGTCGGTAGGATTCGGTCAGCATGTCGTGGGATGTACTGGTATCCGACATACATGCGGACGAATGGCACTTGCAGCAACTCATGCCCACATCGGGCAATGCTCACATCAACACACTGGTGAACTCGACAAGAGGAAGGTCATTCACAAAGCTCTATCCGACCAGTGGGCACAAGCGGATTACCGGGGTAATCAGGTTCAGTTGCAAGCTCTTCGCATTGTTTACGCGCACAGAGTGGAGAGTACCGGTCTAGCAACAGTGTATTGGCAGTTCAGAGGAAAAGGTAGAACGTCTAGCTGCGCAAATTGAGTGTGTTCCAAAAGGATAGCACATGAAACACCCACCGAGAAATCGTCAGTCGGCCTGGATAATACGTTTCATGATGCGGTGAGAGCTAGGCTTACCCTGCAAGCCATCCCGCTGGTTATACTCCCTGGCGAGTTCGGACGTCTAGAACCTAGGTGCAATGCTATCAGCAGCGCTTTCTACACTCTCCAGCCTACTCCACATTGGAACTCCTCACAAATCCGGGGAACAGGCTAGGATAGTATATGGGTCTGTCAGGACTAAATTACGGTTGCATAGTGTAGCGGCTCATCACACAAGATTTTGATGCTTATTTGTCACGTGTCGTCAATTCTTGAGATCCCGGTTCGACCCCGGGTGCGACCTGTTTACTTCCCTCTAGGGTCCCACCCCTGGTTCGGTTCTTACGATTCATGACAGGACCTTTTTGTACTCGAATTTGTTATTATATTATCATGTTCTGTGCCTTGTAATTCTACAAACAAAATACAAACTAGAGAAAACGTACAGAATAAATTTCTTATAGTTCATCCTGGTACAAGATTGGCCCCTGCTGCTTGTGGGACAATGCTGATAGTTTTGGTACCCTCTGACAGTAACAACCTCCACATAGCAACAGCTTTGAATTGAGTGTTACAAAATTGGTCTGGGACGAAAATATAGATCCTATAGATCTCATCAATCTCTTTATCCTTTGCACTGGTTCTCGCTCTGCCAAGTGCGTGAAGTAGTATCCTCGAAATTGAGAGCAGCTCATAGCCAGTCACTGCGACATTTTGCTTGTCCATGTTTTAACCCCATCAACCTTTTTCATCTTCCGCCATACTCTGGCAGGCGGGACTTGAAGCGGACTTGCACAACTCGAAGCGCCGCTCAGAATCTGGTATTGCCATCTCCGAAGCAGCGACGAGACACACTTTTGACCACCTACTCTTTCCAATGCAGAATTCGACACCCGGTCGGTCGGTCGGTCACTATCGTGCGGTAGCAACTCTTGCGCAGCGACGTTCAGCACGTTCCTGCTTGCAAGATCTGTGAGAGGACATTCCGTGCCGGAAGCGACGAGACTGAGAGAACTCGGAGAGCTTATCCAGCGGTACGCTCTACGCTGTCTTTCTTGCGCCCATGCTGAATTCTCTGGCGGTGAAGGCGACAGATCGTTCCTCTGCCTGGCAAAGTATCGACACATAATCTCACGCCATAAAGAGCCACATAGATTCACATACGCGCCAATCACAAGTCACACCCCGTAAGCACAACAAGCTCATGTACGCACTCTGCCGTTCACCGACAGCCCCGCTCCTACAGCCCTCATCTAATTTGCGTTCGAATGGCTACTACCTCACCTAAACCTGCGCCTGGATCCTCTACGGATCAACCATCCGCTGTATATCCCTATCCTTTTCCACCGGGGGCATATCCACCGCCATTCTTCGCTTATCCTCCCATCGACCTTCCGAACACTCCCTCGTCCGACGCAGCGAATGCGTCGACCAGCGCCAGTGGCGCTACTACAACACTCAACCCCGCCAACGTCACTGCCTCTGCCCCGTATATGTTTCCGTATCCTGCTCCTCCTGGTTTGTTCTACCCGTTTCCCCCGGGGTTTTCCGCAGCATCAGCGGCAACGGCCCCCGCCGCCCCGCCTCCAACCACAGCACGTTCGCCTGGACGCGCAAAGCGAAGTCAGGTCAAAATGGCGGTAAGAGTCTTCCGCTTCTTTCGTCCCTGATCTCTCATGGATCCTTCTATAGTGCACTAACTGCGCTGCTGCATGCAAGAGATGTGACGACGAGCGGCCCTGCACCCGTTGTCAGAAGTACAATCTGCAGGACTCCTGTATCGATGGGCAACGAAAATCGCGCATGCGGGGAGTCAAGCGAGGACCGTACAAGCGACGTCTGAAGGACTGTGAAATCACGACCGATGCGTCTTCGACTGTCAACAGCAACAACAACGCATATACTCCACCCCCTGTGGATGCAACGTCCCCACCTACCTCTAGCGAATGGACACCGTCGACCACAGTGACACCTGCGGCGACTGTGACGATTCCACCCGGTGCTGTGCTTGGGCCGTTTCCCCCGGCACCAGAAGGTTACGTAGCCCATCCTGGATTTTACCCGCCGATGGGCATCCTCCTCGCGCCGCCTCCTGGTGGGGAAGAAGGCGCACCCCCGGTTCCGGTGCCGTACTTCTATCCATATCCGCCATTTGGGCTATATCCTCAGGGTATGGCTATTACCGCTACTCAGGCGGTGCCGGCCGCAATACCTACCGAGAAGGAGACAGCGAAAGAAGAGAAAGGCGCAGGGAAGCCCAAAAGAAAGAAGCGAAAAGGCAACACGGGGAAAGCGACGTCGGAGCATGTAGCTGAATCGGAGACTGAGGTGGATCGTTCTATTTTCGCTGCTGAGGACGAAGATCGAGATGCCGACGGCGATTTGGACCAATAATGATGGTGAGTACTCGAACCTCTTTGTATGCGGGAGCTCATTTTCGTCAAGACGTTAATTATCGCACCTGCCATGGCATCGCATGTGACCTCAGGTCCGCTGTACCAACATCCACCACCAGCCCAGCAGTGATTTGACCTTGGACATAGCCATTAAGACTTTGTTGTGGTGTCAAACGGCTGCTGCGCTCGTCATTCATTGCTCAAGGTTTGGATTAATTTTAATTTCTAGCAGCGGACGCACATACAAACACACGCGCTGCATGGCTCAGTTTTCCTCTGTAATTTGTGTAATTTGCTCTTTTTGGAACGCTTTCTCGAACTTTCTACAACAACAATTGTAGTATGTATGTCTGTGTACAACGTTTGTGTCAACTTTACATTGTCATTACCCCCATCCCGCACTTGCCCCTTCTGCTGTTGAAATCGACTGAGTATTCAGCCTGCTTCCAACCGATCTTTTGGTAGATTTTCAGCTGTCCCAGATCAGACCGATAGATGAACACGAAATGCTCGATAGAACGCACATTACTGGTCTCTGTCCCAAATTCTAAGCATTTGAGCACCCCGGTTGATTTTGCGATCACGTCCTGCATCAGAGCCTTCGCGAGACCTTTACGCCGGTGAGCTGGATCGATGCCGAGGGTCTGCAGGTGCCAGGCGTTGTGCTTGGTTCCATCACCGAGGTTGTTCTTGACGAGCTCCCTGAACTTGGGAACGAACTGGAGACTGGACAGTGGGCATACCACTTCTCGTCAAGAGCACGCCTACCTCGAGCTGCCACCACTCTCGCTGCTCTTCGCTCAATCTTTCCATGAACGGCGACAATGCATACTTGCGCTGGGCTTCGCTGTGAGGGCGTATGAGCTGCGAATTGCCAGAAGAAACAGAGAAGCGACAGACGAGTCGTATATGGAATGGCCTGGGCCAAACCACACCGCACACCCAACGATTTCCTTCTCCGTCTCGTCGGTTTCGGCAATGTAAACCTCTCCGCCACCAACGAGAGCCGCAATGACACTGGCTTCGTAGAAGGGACCGACGTAGCTCGTGTCTGGGTCGTCTGGGTCGTGGCCCGTCGCGACGGCGACGAAGGCAGCTGGGGTGATAATACATTCAAAGTCGATAACTAAGAGGGAAAAAGCCTCAATCTCACCACCGGAGAACGCTCTGGCCAACACTTGTCGGATGGCCGGAAGCTCGGGCACACTCGCGGGGTTGAACGCGTCACCGACGAATGGATTGATCAGTTTACGGATTTTGTAAGAGGAAGGCATATCCCAGCGTGGAATGGACAGAAAATACTGCCGTATACTATGCAGCACCAAGTACTTAGGCCAAGGCGAGATCAGTTCTCGATCTGGTTGGTTGTTCGGCTCCGTAGGCTCTTCTCATGAACCAGGGGGTACCCGTCATATAAGGTTGATGTACACTAGACAGATAAAACAAAGGTTCCGGCCAATCTAATGCTTAGCCTTCAAGTGAGGTCGTGCGACAGACCGTGCAGAGGAGCAGGCGGACGTAAGAGAAACATGAGGCAACCGGATCACGTTTATACGCTGACAACACCTCAGCTCTCGCGACCATATTCGACCCCAAGCCACGCGCTGCACAACTATACGCATACCAATTCCACAAGATAATATGTGACTACCTCGATGACGATCAAACCCGAACCGTGGAAGTGGGATGGTCACTGGGCCACTGCAACATCGAAGGAAACGAGAGGGCGGACGAACTTGCAAAAGAAGGGACACCTCTTGCGTCAACGACACATATCACCCGATCACACGCACTCAGAAGATCCAAAGAACGCATACAATCAACATGGCGTCGAGAGTGGAAGCAACGCAAGCGAACGGGACTCTATACAGACGCCAACCACATCCCACCATCAACACAACCGAGTCGACACTTCACGGAACTCAGCGGAAAACGGGAGTTGTTCGGACGGCTATTATTATTATTATTAATTTCCTCTTTTATTCCCCTTCGTCTCTAAAGATATGGTAGGGACTCTCTATACACTAATTATTCTTTTTCGTATTGGGCGTCCCACTCGTGTCGGTTTCCTTTCGCAAAGCTTTGTCCACCTCGCGATGGGTGCAGCTGGTTGTGCGCTGCTGGCCGGGGCCATGCTATGGTGTGGTTAGTATTGTACATATATAATTACAGGAAAACAGTCCTGTTCGTTCACGCTTGTCGTCTGGTTGCCTGCCGGGTGGTGCGCCTTGTTCGGGTTGGGGCCGGGCGTGGATTCGGCCGCTTTCGTTGTGGGGTCGGTTCTGGGAGGTCCTCTATTTCGCCGAATATCGCTCTGAATCGGCCGGTTTGGGCGACGAAACGCAGTAGGTGGCGGGTGAGGTCAGGTCGCGATAGAAGTTTCTCGAGGTCCTGGGCGTGGCGGCCTGCGCGCCGTATTAAGTTCCCCCGGGCGTTGGCGTGCGCTGGGCAGTGCAGGAGGTAGTGGCATACGGATTCGTCTTCGCGGTGGCAGCAAGGGCATACTGGTGAGTCGGCGCGTTTTATGGTGTGCAGGTGTCGCGCGAGTGGCAGGTGGCCCGTGCGTAACCAAATCATGATGGATGCGTGCGTCTTGGGAAGGGCTGCGATGTGTTTTAGCCATAGTCCTGCTAGTGGTTTGGGTAGCAGCGCGCGTAGGCGGGGGTATCTAGGCGAGGTGACCCATTCATTCTGGGTTCGGGTCCTCAGTCCTTCGTGGAAGTCCTGGATTGTCGCTGATTTGCTGCGTGGGAGCGTGCCACGTAGGGGCCGGCATAAGTATGCGTTGCCGTCGCTTTGTGTCCCTGGGTCCGCCGCCTTCTTTGCTTCTTCGTCTGCCGCCTCATTGCCCTGAATATCTTTATGGCCTGGAGCCCACTTGAAGGTGACGCGGGCTCGCGGGTGTGTTTCGTGTAGCTGTTCGAAGGCCTTGTGTAGGGCGTCCCATATGTAATGCGAGGGTGCTGAGGTCGTGTTGTGTGTGGCCATGATCGCCGCCGTGTTGTCAACAAAAACGGATATGTTCCCCTCCACGTTTTGCTGCGCTCTCAGTAGGCCGACGGCTAGATTCAGCCCGATTCCCTCGCCTTCGTATACCGTGTGATGCGCCGCGCTGCCCAAGTGTTTCCTCGTTGTTGCCACTTTAGTGCCGGCCCGGTATAAGATTGCCGCCGCACCTATGTGTCCACCAATGCCCGAGCCGTCTGTGTAAGCCTTCCACTCTGCTTCGTCTTCCCTTTCCGCCTCTATGGCTGCCTCTTTCGAACCTCGTATCTCCGTGGTCGTTCGGACGGCTAATGCAATGCAGAACGGGGCACGGATACACCTCAGTTACCACCGCCATCACCCGGTTGCACCCCCGCGGGGGTCCTCCTGGGTACCCTCAGACGTAGCTCTGAGGGTACCTAACAGGTACCCCCCTGCGGGGCCCGCGGGGGGGATTTGGTCCATTTGGGGGCGGGGGCATATGCGGGGGTCAGCAGGGGGGGGTCTGTACATGTCATGTGATTTATCATTGGGAGCGGGCAGGTGGGCGCGAAAAAAAAAATGAATCACATGACACATCCAATGGGCGGGATGGCGGCTGATGGCGGGGTAAAAAAATCACGTGATGCACCGCATGAAAATTATCAAAAATGGCTAGCAGGGGTTGGCGGGGGTTGGCGGGGGCGCTACTGGCCCCCCGCACACCATGGCGGGCAGTGGGCGCATTATCACGTGACTTTTGGGGCACCTTTTGTGCACCATTCGGCATGATTTCGGAGGTGTTGCTTGATCCATTGCATGCTGTGGCAGACAATGGGCGCATAGTCACGTGATTTTCCGCCCAAAAAAATGGAAGCCTTCCCCAAATCATCCTGGTATCATTTCTATTGGTAAATACACTAGTTAAGCATGAATTTGAGCTTAGAAAGCCCAAAATGCACCCTGCACAATGGGACTGGTGATGCACTTGATCCCATCATTTGGCGGGGTCTGCTGCGGGGGGTGCCACGGGGGGTGCTGCGGGGGGTGCTGCGGGGGGTGCCGCAGGGGGTGCCACAAGGGGTGCCGCAGGGGGTGCCGCAGGGCCCGCTGTGGGGTCAACCACAGGAGCAGGGGTAGGGGTGCATTGCATCATATTTTGATCTATCTATTCTCGCTGTGGTCATAGCATGCAGCATAATTATCCTTCATTTTGCCAGGAGTTTGGAGGCTGTGTCTGGGGTTGGTCTGCAGCTACAGCCATGTGACTCCCTGATGCTTCGGCAGGGGCTGGGATATCAAAACTGTGCAAATTTACCTAAATCTTTTGGCTTGGCTTGGGGCACTGATATATATGACTTGGTTCATTTTAGCATGGTCTGCTCAAGCTGTCAGGTCAAACTAAAAATTTGAAAAATGTGCAACTTGATTTGTTAGGCAAATCTCCCAAGTACATGCTCCAGGGACAGCCAACATCATCAACAAGAAATGGCTAATGTTTCTTTTCTCTGTCTGTTTGCTTCAGGTAGTCTGTCTGCACTCAAATTTTTCTCTCTATTTGCAGCATATTCCATGGAGGTGTCATAATTGTTGATTTCCGGATTTCATACTTCTTGTCTACACACCATTTGGGCCCTTTACTGAATCCAATAATACTGTAGACTCTTACAATGGATTGAGCAGGACATTTGTCAATTAAATCCTTGCAGGGGTTGGGGGGGGGTCAACCACAGGGGGTGCCGCGGGGGGTGCCACGGGGGGTGCCGTGGGGGTGCACAAGCATCTGCCAGCCTACCAAATGTGGATCAACTACAAAATCACTTTCCAAAGCTTCTGTACTGCAACCCAAGTGACTTCTAGGTAACCTTTACCCAATCCCAGTGAAACAACTTCACTGCTCTTGTTTCTGGGTGACAATTGATTTTATGAGCTTGAGTGTGTATGCACCCTTTTTAGTAGGAAATGAGGCCATGTGATGAGAGGTAGGGCACCGAAACATTGTAAAATACTATATTCAACATGACCGGTGGCCCATGTCTCTTCAAACCAGCCCATATCTCATGTTTATCAAGACCCTATTTTTCGGACCCATTTCAAGTTTTTGAATGGTTCCAGGGTCCAGGGCTCTCAGAATTTGTTTCAGACACTGCCAAGGGGTATATCATTCAGCTGTATTGAGTTGTTCATTTGTAGAAAATATATTTTTTGCAATACCCAAAGTGAACTATGTTGAACCATTATCTATGTAGGAACCTTGAGCAACTGTGAACTGTTTTCATGTTTCGAATTTTGGATGGACAAATGATATGAAATACCTACATATTCAACAAGAACAGCATAGGGAGACCTTATTCCGATGGTTTTCAGCTGCATAACTGTAGAAACAGTGTCAGAAGAGCGGGAAACACTTAGGTACGACGTTTATACAGGTTCTGATTGGCTGGTGACTTGACGTGTTCCGAGCTGTCAGTTTACATAATCTTACATATAAGAAAATCACGGGGACAAGGCACCGGTGCAGCGGGGGGTGCTAGACTGGCGGGGGTGCCAGCGGGGGTGCCGGCGGGGGTGCCAACAGGGGTGCCGGTGGGGGTGCCAATGGGGGTACCAGCAGGGGTGCAGGCAGTGGGTCATGGCAAGGATGTGTGCAGCCCCAGAGGTAGTAAAAGTAACCATCTATGTCTCTACAGTCTATCTTGCAAATATACGAGCTCTGAGTGCACAGAGTGTTGTATATGAAATTTGAAATTCAAATATTACCAATCTCTGACTATTGTGAGACAACTTGCTGGTGAATCCATTGTCTCATATTCCACCTAGGAATCAATTCAGGGCATGTCAAATCCACTATTACATCTGTTCATGTTGCAACTGAAGCAAACTGCTTGTAAAGTAACACAGAACAGATGAACTTCAATGAGTCCCAGACAGGAAGTGTGACATTAGGTATGTAATTAATGTGTGGTATCATCCACAGGGTAAGATTAGACTGTGCCTACAGCATGATCAGCTTACCAATGGGCATGTATATGGAATGAGCAGACGAAACAATCAATGAGTTGACAGTGGACCCGATGCAGCCCATGATGTCAGCCCACCTACCCTGCCAGCCAAAAAATGAACAAATCACACTTTCTTTTTAACCCTACATGCCTGGATTATGCAGACAATATTGCACAGTTTTGATATCCCAGCCCCTGCCGAAGCATCAGGGAGTCACATGGCTGTAGCTGCAGACCAACCCCAGACACAGCCTCCAAACTCCTGGCAAAATGAAGGATAATTATGCTGCATGCTATGACCACAGCGAGAATAGATAGATCAAAATATGATGCAATGCACCCCTACCCCTGCTCCTGTGGTTGACCCCACAGCGGGCCCTGCGGCACCCCCTGCGGCACCCCTTGTGGCACCCCCTGCGGCACCCCCCGCAGCACCCCCCGCAGCACCCCCCGTGGCACCCCCCGCAGCAGACCCCGCCAAATGATGGGATCAAGTGCATCACCAGTCCCATTGTGCAGGGTGCATTTTGGGCTTTCTAAGCTCAAATTCATGCTTAACTAGTGTATTTACCAATAGAAATGATACCAGGATGATTTGGGGAAGGCTTCCATTTTTTTGGGCGGAAAATCACGTGACTATGCGCCCATTGTCTGCCACAGCATGCAATGGATCAAGCAACACCTCCGAAATCATGCCGAATGGTGCACAAAAGGTGCCCCAAAAGTCACGTGATAATGCGCCCACTGCCCGCCATGGTGTGCGGGGGGCCAGTAGCGCCCCCGCCAACCCCCGCCAACCCCTGCTAGCCATTTTTGATAATTTTCATGCGGTGCATCACGTGATTTTTTTACCCCGCCATCAGCCGCCATCCCGCCCATTGGATGTGTCATGTGATTCATTTTTTTTTTCGCGCCCACCTGCCCGCTCCCAATGATAAATCACATGACATGTACAGACCCCCCCCTGCTGACCCCCGCATATGCCCCCGCCCCCAAATGGACCAAATCCCCCCCGCGGGCCCCGCAGGGGGGTACCTGTTAGGTACCCTCAGAGCTACGTCTGAGGGTACCCAGGAGGACCCCCGCGGGGGTGCAACCGGGTGATGGCGGTGGTAACTGAGGTGCACGGATACACTGGCGAGTTTTACCGCCGATTCAATATTCCCGAGGACACTGACTGCCCATGCGGAGAGGCGCTACAAACGAGAGAGCACATCCTACGCGAGTGTCCTATATACGACAACGAACGACCCATCATACGAGCCACTTCCGCCAACTTCGGTTTAACGGAGATGATGGGCACGAAGGAAGGAATCGTCGCACTAGCGGAATTCCTACAGAAATCGGGAGCGTTCACGAAGAGCGGTAGGGTCTGGAAAGACCGCGAAATACCCATTCTAGAGGACGAGCCGGAACCCGACATATCGGACGACGAAGAGGAGGATGAAGCTTCCGACCACGGCTAAACAACACGAGACGCGGCCCCGACCGGCCCTGGCCAGGCCAACCACCCCGCTCCCCCCTATGACCATGTCCCATGCCCCAGGCCCAGGACCTATGTTTATGTTGTGCTTCGAAACCCACACGGAACCCCAAACAAACGACATCCGCGTCACCAAACGTTCACACTCCCAACGGCTGAATAGTCCAGCCGGTACCTCCTTCCCAGCTGCCTACAGGCACCGCGTCTTAGTAGTTAGTTTACTTGTTGCGGAATACAAATGCAGATTCAAACAAACCGGATCACGTGGCGGCATGTGACAGATCGCCGCTCGACCCCACAATGAGCAATCACCATGTAGGCCTACACCTCGTGCAATGTCCAGACTTTTTTGACCAGAACCAGCCAAGACAATGCTGATCGAGGGTCAACCGTGAAGATCCCAGCGATAACGAACAAAGCAAGCTCCGAACTGATCCACAATTGCGCATCTATAGAGGACCAAAGCGCAACACGAGAACAATAGCGGTGGGCCCTTGAACAGATGCATACTCGATATTGTTGATAAGCGAGCGCTTTGGCAGAGCTTTGAACTCTATAAAAGCAGATGTTTAGTCTTTGCCACCACCAGCCATATCCATTCCCCGGTCACTCTTATGGGACGCCAACGATCCACAGGAAAACGCGCGGCGGTCAAACACCGCCAAATCGAAGTTCATGCCCGAGAAGATGGTTCTCCGCATTCTCACGTGGTGCCTTCCGGCAAACCCAAACTTGGAGGCACTCTGGGAGTCAACCGTTTCCGATGTCCCAGTGCATCAGAACCCTCCCTCCCTCCCTCGGTGGCTGAATCTAACACTGTTGACGCTCCTCTTGCCTTTGTCTCTGCCTCCGCACCGGCGGCCTCCACCCGCGCCACCAGGTCACATAGTAAAGCGCTGCGGTCAAATGCTTCAGCCGGTCCCTCGCGCACAACGCTACCAGCGCTTAGCCGCACGTACCCCGTGGGTCGGCAGACGAAAGGCCAAACACATCTCTATGTGGGCAACGTGCGTATAGACACCTAATTTAGCCTTCAACCCTTACTTACATGGTCGCAGCTGGATCCGCAAATCCAGCTCAGTCAGGTCAAGGCGCACTTCTCGAACTGCGGCGGCGTGATCTGTGACGCGCGCTTCTCCTTGGCGGGCTCGGAAGACATGTACGCCCAGCTGATGTTCGATACTCCAGCGGCGGTGCACGCGGCGCTCAAGATGTACGGCTCCCAGATCGACGGCTTCCCCCTCCCGATCGTCGTGAGTCTCGCATCGCATCGTCTCATCTGAACGCACAGTGTACTGACAGTGGCCGGCGCAGGTGACGCCGACTGTCAACGAGCTCCACGAGGCCGTCCGCCGCCCCGGCGCCCATGGTTTAGTGGCTGAAAGCGATGTGGACAGTTTGTGCCGATTGCAAAGAGCGAGACTGGCCCGCCCTGGTCTTCCTGTTTCTATGACGCCTGGCACAGTGCATCGACTGACTGGTGTGTTGTTCTTGTTGTCCAGGTTCATCGTGGACTGAACGCGCGGAATCACAGCTTCGGGCATGCAGCAGGTCCCTTTGCATCTCGCCACCACGCTTTGCTGCGAGGATTTCAAGCCTTCCGTCCGGCGGCGAGTGGTCAAGACTGCGAAGCGGCTCTGGAATGGGCAAACCCTCTTGACACAGACTTGAATTTCTAGCGTATCCGTGATTCTGACATTATGACTCCGAATGTATGCAAATATGATCCTATGCTTCCCAAATGATGCACCTGTCTTACCGACACTATTAAGCGATTGTATTAAAGTCGCATAACGCGACAGCGCGAGCTTTAATCTAAATACCATGATTGTTCAACGATGACGAAGGCTCGATGGCCAGCTCCGCAGGGATGATCAATGACGCTTACTCTGCTATAACGATCGCTATATTGCAACTATGAAGGGGAAACGCTGAGATCAGTGACTCTGAGATTCTGCATGCCAAACACCAAGATGCTTGTCGACAACCCCATTTGAAGTCTGGAATATCATCGCACCGGTACCCAGCCAATCGTAGTTTCCGAATGAAGCTTTGGGACCCTTTGTAACTCAGGTCTTGCGCAAGATATAACTGCATGTCACGCCCACTGAAATGCACCGTTCCGGTGTTTATCTGTAAAGGACAGACTGGACATATCTGTCAAAATACAATCAGACGACTGCTAAACATACCGAAACTCCACGCCAACAGGGCCATCTGTTTTCTTGTATGTTCACAGCTTTCGACTGAGAAATACGGATTTCCCAGTCAGACGCAACAATTTGAATCCGCTATGATATTCGCTACTCAGTCGGTTAACACAGTATAAAGCATCTAGAATTGAATGTGTGCCTGGACGCGCCAATTCCGATCTAATTGATGGCCATTCAGCAGTCTGCAACCCAACTTAGGACGGATTTTGGAAATCGCGACTCAGAGTCGACTGGGATTAGGCCGTCTCATAGGACTCGAAGCTGCATAATTTAACATGAAGGGGTCAATAAATTCAATAGAGTGCTGATCTAGCAAAATGAGTAGAAGGCTCTGGCCAATCGCCAGGCTTTTTCAGTTTTGGAACACACTTCTCACGTGATCTGTTGTTAGTCATGATCACGGCCTTGACTATCGCCGTCACCGTCAGCGACAACTCGGAGCCTCGGCCTCCACTGCAACATCATGATGCCTGTCTAGAAATCTGGAAACTCCCGCTCGAGTTCTCTAATCGGTGCTTCTTTCTTGTGGCAGTTACTGATAAAACAAGCGCCCATCGCTAGTATCTGACTCACTGCTTGTGATCCTCGCCAACTCAGGCATTGAGTGGCGGCCTGATGTCGCCGTTGTCTAGATGCTGCAGAAACACGCTTATTAAAGTGCGATTCATGCAACGCCTCTCATCATCTATCCTGTTCCTCTATTCGTTATTCGAACTCTCCAAATTCTACTAATCGCCTATTTTGAACATGACCAATGCTTTCTTTGCTCCTCTGACACTCCTTCTCCTCTTTGCCGTGTCTGTCCGCGCTAGTGAGTTCTCTGCTTCTTTCCAATGCGTTTTAGTCATCCTTGATTGCTAGACTGCGACATCTCGGACTATCCCCCAGCAGTCGCAGCGCAAGGCAATTTTCCCGGCGTCTGGACGCCTGTCTCTGCCATCCTCGAGAATGACGCAGAGGGCAGAGCTCTTTTCGATTCGTTCAAGGACAGAATCCCCAATATTGCGCCCAAGGGAACAAACGGTGTTCCTGATCCACATCTGAAATACGACAATTCGGACCCAGACTGTTGGTGGACGTTCTCGACGTGTGTGACACCGAAGACGCCGGGGGTCGATGCGGATGTCGCGAGCGTACCCGAGGTGAGCACTGCTTCTGCGATCCGCGTTTCGGTGGGTTCTCAAACACCTTGTGCTATCTAGCCCTCGACGCTCGGGTACGGCTTCGATGACGGCCCGGCATGCCAGCACGATGTGTTCTACGACTTTATGAAGGAGCACAACCAGAAGGCGACGTTTTTCTACATCGGGTCAAATGTCCTTAGTCAGCCTCTGCAGGCCCAGCGGGCTATCATCGACGGACACGAAGTCTGTGTTCATTCGTGGTCGCACATGCCGATGACGTCATTCGACAACGAGCAAGCGTTTGGAGAGATGTGGTACACGATGCAGGCCATCAAGCTCGTCACGGGATACACACCCAAGTGTTGGAGGGTGCGCGGTTTCCGTCTGGTCTCCCTTGTGTTCGGCTGCTGAGTCGGATTCATGTCATCATAGCCTCCTCAGGGGGATGTCGACGATCGGATTCGGTTCATCGCCCAAGCATTGAATCTAACCACTGTCCTGTGGGACTTTGATGCCAACGACTGGCAATTTGGCGCAGGGACGATGAGTGCCGCGCAGATACTCGGCAACTACGCAGATTTCATTGGCAATGCAACCAGCGGGGCGTTCGACGACGTGCGTTGCGCTTACTTATTTATTACGGGGTGTTGTCGAGGTTACCGACTGATCCGTTTCCAGATCGGCGCGATTCTTCTCACCCATGAGCTCGACAACTTCACCATGCAAACTGCCATCGACCAGTATCCTCGGTTGTCCTCCGCTTTCAAGGTGATCCTTCATCCGCGTGGTCTGATCTCGCAGAACTTGCTCAGATCTTCCCCTTCGACAGCACATTGTTCCCATCGCGACGGCTCTGAACATCACGCAACCCTACGTCGAGACCAACTTTACCATGCAATCGTTTGCTGAACGTAAGTCGTCTGTGGTCATGTATCTCGCCGCGGTGCGCTGAACTGCGGAAACACAAGTGATCGGGGTGGCCTCGCCTCCCTCGCCTCCTTCCTCATCTACGCAGACAGCAGCTCCCTCCGCGAGCGGGCTGATTGTTTCCAAGACCCTGTCGTCCTCATTCTCGGCGGATAGCACCCCGACTATTTCTGCTGTCAATCATGCTGCGAGCGCATCAGCTACAAGCGGCTCGAGCGGCTCTACGACGGAACTGTTGAATGGTCGAGTGTTCGGTTTGGTATTTTCGGTGGTGGGAGGCAGTGTTCTGCTGGTACTATGATTATCGACGATGTACTTGGCATCTGCTGTCATCATGGTGACTAGTTTCGTTCATATTTAACCGAACACTCAGGAAGAAATCCCGCTTGACTGATGTTCAGGAAGGCTGGAATCCGCCCACGCTTGGACACGCTTGGATAAGGGCTCGAATCAAATCATTCTCTTCGAAAGAGATTTTTCCCACCCGAGAACTAAAGGAAAGAGTCCGAAATGGGCTATAGCGTTTACGATACACCGATAATGTCATCACAGTCGATCCACGATCGGGTATCGCCGAATGATCTCCGTGCGTCTTCTTGCTCTTCTTACTCTTTCGCAACCTGATTGATCTTCACGATCATTGTCTCTTATTTTGCATCGCACCTCGAGGAAAATTGTTGGTCAATGCATTGGAGACAGCAGCTTCAAGCAGAATACGTGTGGGTGCGATATTCGTATGAATATTAGCACCGCTGCTGCACATCAGTTGGACTGATCACCGGTCACCAGGACCTCTCAACCTATCGAGGACTAGGTCATCTGCCCTCGGGTGTCTCGGGTGGGGTGTCAATGAAGCTACAATCTTGTCAAGATGTCAAATCCCCTGCTTCTTGTCCAGTTTTGTTGTGGTTTCCTACCTTTTTGGCCGTTTCCGCCTGAAACGAACCAAATCACAGGACGTAGGACGGGAAAAAAGCCGTGTTTGGTCTCGAACTACTGTCCGAAATTTCTCGAAACAGGTCACCAGTTCCCTAGACCGTTCAAATCTGGATGTGGAGTTGTCACCCATCGCCAGCGGCCAAGCCACAGTCGACATGGATGCATGTGTCGCAGATGATGGTGCGACACTCTCGGTGTCTGTTCTCGATTCGGGGCCCGCCAGAGACTTCAGAAGTATACCCATCCCTCTCTTGAGCGACAATCAAGCCCTGCTGAGCGGGCCGGCAGTACAGCACATGAAGGGGGAGCAGGCGTATACCCTTCGCGGGTGCGGTATTTGGTATCACCAGGTTCGTTCTCGGGTTTGCCACCGGAGAAAAGCAGGGTTTTCATTGTCCTTAAAAGCTAGCCAGGTCTCTCGTTGAAGGACCAAAGATCACTCGGACCACCACCCAGTAGTGAAAACGATGCTCGCTTCCTTCGTTTCCCTCGCGATCCTCGCCCTCGCTCTTCCGACCCACGCAATTGTCACATGTAACGTGTTGAACTACGGCGGGGTTGCGGACAATAAGACAGATATCGGCCCCGCCTTGAGTGCGGCATGGACAAAGTGTGTCATCCCGAACGTCAAGACCACCGTCGCCACCGACGTTCAGCTGCTCGTCCCGGCCGGGAGTTTCCTGCTGGCGTCGAATGTCCTGTTCAACCACGCTGCGAACTGGAACCTGCATCTCGCGGGCAATTTGTATTTGCCCTTCGACCCCAACCTCGGTGGAACCATGCTCCAGTGGCAGGTGTGTGTGAAACAAGCACTGTAAACATCATGGTCGATCGTGATATATGACTATCTTCCTCTAGAACTGCAACAATATTCTCGTCAACGGGCCGGGATCGATCTTCGGCAATGGATTGCGGTACCGCCCGAACAACGACGTACGTTCGGTCCTTCTCACACAGTGGGCTTGGGCTCATGCGGTCATCAGTTGACCATTCACCCCGGGCGTCCTCGGCTCCTGCGGTTCCAGGCCTGCAACAAGTACGTGTCTAGCTCTGCTGCATATGTCAGCGGCGGCTGATGCACGTTCAAGTGTCGAGCTTACTCAGATCACGCTGTTTGACTCTCCCAAGTTCCATGTGGCCATGTTCGGCGACAAGTGTGTAGGCGAGGGTCTCATGCATGACTTGACTGACGCCGTTCTTCAGCAATCTCATCCACAACATGGCTATTCGAGCGACTTTTGTCGGTCAGTGCTTTTATTCCGACCGTCCAGCGAACCGGTTTAAATCATCAGCTCAGGTGAAACGGATGGGTATGATATCAGCGGAAACAACAAGTATGAGGATCCGATCGTGATTACGACTCGGTCTCTGACGAGGTCCAAGCTACATTCACGACGTCAGCGTCCAGAACGGCGATGAGGTGTGCAAACATGATCTTCTCTCAGGGGAAAAAGCGCTCATCAATCCAGTGTGTCACTGTCAAAACGCCAACCAACGTCCGTCCCGCGCGATGTTGTTCTGTTGAATTCGTTCGCTGATGTCGTCCCATCAGGGCTTCCGCGCGGAGAACATCGAATGCATTGGCACCGCTGGCTGCAACATCGGCTCGTTCGGAGGTGCAGACACTACCGTCAATGTTCAAAACGTCGTATACACGAACGTGACGGTATCCAACTCGGACGCCGGCATCATGATCAAATCTTATCCGGACAACATTGGCATCGTCAAGAATATCACCTACAACCACTTCACCTTCGTGAGTGCCGTAATCGATGGCACGATGTCTGATTCTGAAAGAATGCGTTTACAGAACAAGGCCGCATACCCTTTGTGTAGGTGCAGGACGTAGATGGGACTCTGCGGCGCTAACAAGTCTATTTTAGACATCAGCGCCTTCTGGGCCGGCAACAACGTTGACACGGGCAAGCTCCAGATTTCAGACGTCACCTTCAACGGAGTCACAGTGCGTTCAACGATCAGTTTTCCTCCAACGTCTCTAACTCTCTTTTAGGGAACCGGAACGCCCACTCGCCCTGCAGTCTTGCTCAACTGCAACAAGGCTACACCTTGCAAGAACATTGTGGTGAGCCATTATCGCATCCTCCCTCGTGAAAAACTTTAAAAGAATTCCGCAGTTCAAGGGAATATCGCTGTCGGGAACCAAAGCCAACAGCTACACAAACGCTTGTGGGTCGGGTATTTCTGGATTGCCGGGTTGTTAGATGTAAATAATTGCGGCTCACTGGGCCTACTCATATTGCGGTAAGATCACTGTTTCGCCTTTTCTGGAAATACAATCAATTCTCTGTTGTCCATTATTTCCTGCCCAAACTCAAGAAAATGAATCTAAACCAAAGCAAATGCACATTGATGGCATCTACATTCAGTTATTCTTTTTGCTATAAGAAATTGTACACTTTCATTGGCCAAACATAGGGAGGAAATGTACAATAAATATGCATAACATTGAACAGGAAGGAATCAGATTTCCAGATGTTATTGAGCATCTTGAAGAGGGCTCAGGCAGTGGAAATCTTGATTTTTCAAGCGTTCTATCTTGTCAGACACTTTGGCTTGGCCCATGCATTCTTAATAGGGGACATATTGGCAGAAATGGGTGGCCACTTGAACAACATATGTGTGTGACAATCAACAAAAGAATACAGTTGAAAAGAGAAGTCAATTCCAAGACTGGAGAATACAACACAATAGCCAAGGTAGAGTATATGCAAAGTGTGTGTGTGTGTGACTTGGCCTGATAGTAAAAGTCACACACTGATGGCAGTGAGTCACACATAAGTGATCCTATGTATGATCTGCCAGTGGTTACTCCTGTCTCTGTGGTCCAAATCTCTGATGTGCCTAAGTGTCTAGACGGCAATCTGTCACAACTGTGACAACCCACGTTGAGAGGCTGAAACAACAATTTGGTGTATCCTTCAACATCTACAGTGTACATTATTGATCATTGTGGTTAAAATAATGTTGTCTGCCGGGTTACATGAACAAATTACTGTATACAATGACATTACCCCTTCCCCAGCTTCTTTGAGGTCGATTCCCTAATCTTGTTGTTCCCCCCCTGTTATAGTTCGGCCACTTTTTCATCTTATCATCAACGATCTTATCTTATCTTGGCATGACTTATCTTATCACGGATCACAGCATCAGATGGTCCAGGCTAGGGGTTCCAGGGATTAGCTCCATCAATTCGAGGCTGCGCAACACATGCTCTGGAAGGTTCTACTACAACCCATGACCAGTGCTCCATGCGGTACATAGCCTTACAACTCACGAGTTGTAGATATGTGTCAGGGGACGCCGCGCTCCTTGGGCACGTGACCATGCATGTGACCCACTGCGCCCTCTCTGCCGACCCGTGCCTGCTCACCTGCCGATCACCCAGCCTCCTCCTCCTCCGATCCTCATCTCCATCCATGCCGACATCCGCCCTCTCCCTCCTTCTCCCGGCCATCTCCCTCGAATCCCCGCAAGCGGTCTAGCCAAGCCCGATTCCTTGCACCAGGGAGTGCTATTGCTGTACGCACTCCTCCCCCTTCACTTCGGCCTTCTCCCCGTGGATGTGGTCTACTGCCGTACAGGCTCGTACCAGATGCCCTTGCGCTCATCCGCACCACCCCTCTTCCCAGTCGGGCATTGGTCCTCGCCTCCGATGTCTCCACTGGCCGGCCCGGCACTGGCCTGGCCACTGGGCTCCTCCAGTGTGGCCTTCCACTGTTGGTGTCTCAGGAGCTGGCCATCACTGGCCCCTCTGAGCCACTCACTATCTTATCTAGGTTTGTCATTATCTACTTGTCATCTGCCATTGTTCTATGGCAGTGATATCCCATCATCATCAGTCACTTGTCACAGCTGACTATATAGTGTGACACCTGGGCACATGGATCCTTGAACCGTTCTCTAAGGATCCCCCTCTGTGCTCAGGTGAGTAGTATACCTCCCTTGTATTTGATAGTCTCTAAGGATCCCCCTCTGTGCTCAGACTCATGTGAGGTTGTTGTGTGCTGTGTGCTCTCTTCCTTCGGGCTGGCAGGAGTTGCCCTTACAGCAGAACGGTTCCACCCCATTGGACTCCACCCAGCTGAGCGTCAGGACAGTGGCAGTCTATGGCGCCCTGTTGCTGCGCACTGGTGTGGCCTCCAAGCCGGCTGGCGGCTAGTGGTTGTGTAATTGGTGTGTCCCTGTCGAGTCCCTGGTAGTGTTAACTGGTCCACTCCATACATTGCATACGCATCACCCACGAACCCCCGGTCATCCCCCCCCCTCCTCTTCCTCCCCCCTCATCTCCCTGGCCTACTGCCGTCGAGGCTCGTGCCATCCGACTCCGACCTCCTCCCCCCTCGTTCCCCTCCTGGATTTGGGACTTGGCCTCCCTCTCTCTCCCCCCTCCTGGCTGGATGTTGGTTCTGTGGATTGGTGGATTTGGATGGCTGAGCTGGGTTGGATGAGTTGGTGGTGGGATGACTGTCATATGTGCCCTGGTCTCTGGTTGGGTCCTTGTGCCCTAGATATGTGATTCTGCTCCTCTCCTATGCTGCTGAACACATTCTACCCAACCTGCTCTACTCCCCCTCCCCCATGGGCATCTCTGTGAAGCTGGACCCCCTGGTCTTGTGTTTCCTGCCTTCCCACCTGCCTCTACCCCTCTCCACCTCCTAGCTGGCTGCAGCCCTGCTCTGCCTGGGTGCCCTCTGTGTGCCCTCTCTCCATCCCTCCCATGGACTCCCCTCCCCCTGCCCCCCTGCCAGCCCCACTCCCCCAGAGCATTTTCGAGTTTTTGGGGCAGTGGCAGTGCTCGGGTTTCCCATGCTGTCAAAAACCCGGCCATCCTCGGGCTTGCTGGCAGTGGCAGTGTCTAGTCACCTGGCTGCTCTCTCAGGTGACCCCCATCACCCCCGCCCTCTGTGGCAGTGTCCCGCTCCTTGCGCAGCCACCGCGCCCCGCCCCTGCGCAGCCACCCCGCTCCCCGCCCTCTGCACAGCCACCTGCCTCCCCCCTTTGGCAGAGTTTGGTCCGCTCTCTGCTCATGTGACCTCATGGCTGTGCTCTGGATCCCCACACTGCCACCTGTCTCCAGTGGCAGTGCACTGGCATAGCCACAGTGACAGCCCATTGCCTTTGAGGCAGTCTGCTGTCTTGTGTAGCCACACTGTTGGTGCTCTGCCCCTAGGGCAGTCTGCCACTCTGTGAGCTGCTGCTGTGTGCTGTGTCATGTGCAGGGAGTCATGTGATGTGTGGCTGCGCTATGTCACATGCATATCACGTGACCATCCTTCCAGTCATGTGACCAACATGTCACGTGATCCGTGGCTGCACCCCAGGCACCATTTCTGCTGCGCTTTTTAGTGGCTGTGATGGGACCCTAGGCTTGGGTTCCTCTGTGATGTGATGGATCTGGCATTGCCTGCTCATAGCTGCCGCTCTCTGCTGGGTCTGGGTCTTTCCTCATCGTGCGCTGGGCCATCCGGCCTCCTCTCTTCTGCTGCTTCCTCGCGTCCTTGGGTCCGCGCTCCTATGCCGCCAGGCTCTCTCTGCCCATCCAGGCCTACTTCTTGGTTGCTGCCCACGCTCGTCGTGCGTTATTGCAGGTGGGCTGCAACCTTGAAGGGGGGATTGTCCATCATCCCCCGTGACCATCCATTGGTCACTTGGCACCTGCTTCTCCGCAGGATCGGTTCGGATGGAGCACCCCTTGCTCTATCCCCAGCTGATTGTGATGTCGCACCTGGTGCAGCGGACCCTCTCCCTCCGTCCCCTCTCCTCTGCACTCCTCCCTCTGTTCCCATCGTCTCCGCCTTGGTCCATGACCTCTCCCCCCGCTGTCTCGCCTCTACGCACGTCTCCACGGGCATATACCCCCGGCTTTGGCCGGCGGAACATCCGCTACGTGCCTCCGCTGTTGTGCAAGGCCTTGCGCTAACCGTGTGATGGCTGGCCCCCTTGGCCGGCTTGTTACGTCTTGAGCGTCAGAGCAGTCGGTCCTTCCGTTGGCTCTGTCCCCCCTACGTGTGTCTCCATGGGCGTATACCCCTGGCTTCGGCCGGCGGAACATCTGCTACGTGCCTCCGCTGTTGTGCGAGGCCTTGCACTAACCATGTGATGGCTGGCTTGCTGTTGTGGCCGGCCTGTTACACCTTGGCTCCGGACATCCACGGCAGGTGGTAGACCCGTGCATCACCCGCCGACCCCATCTATTAGGTGGCTGGTGCACGCAACATCCCTCCCTTCTGCATCCGACACGTGCCTTTTTTTCGGTTGCCTCTATTGCTGCTGTGCAGCTGGGACAACCGATTGGTGCGTCGAGGGCGCCGCACCTTGAAGGGGGGATGAAGGGGCACTGGAGGGAAGCGACCGCAAGGGAGCTTCTCTCTACAAGTGGGACGACTTCAGGAGTCCTGGTTGCCCTTACAGGCACCTGAGCTTCTGGGAGGAGCAGAGCGACGACCACCCTGACCATAGGGAAGGTCGTGGTACAGCCACACATGCATAGCTGTGGGGCTGGACCTTAGAGCGGGACAGCGACCGACCACTAGGTCATAGGGAGCTGACACGCAGCTCAGTGACGACGCACCGGACGACAGAGTAGGATGCGCAGCATCCCACTGGAGTAGTGCGTCCTTCTTTTTCCCCACCCACCCTCCCCTGTCTCCCATCTGCTTCGCGCTGCCTACGTCGGGACGCCGTAGCTTGAAGGGGGGATGATGTCAGGGGACGCCGCGCTCCTTGGGCACGTGACCATGCATGTGACCCACTGCGCCCTCTCTGCCGACCCGTGCCTGCTCACCTGCCGATCACCCAGCCTCCTCCTCCTCCGATCCTCATCTCCATCCATGCCGACATCCGCCCTCTCCCTCCTTCTCCCGGCCATCTCCCTCGAATCCCCGCAAGCGGTCTAGCCAAGCCCGATTCCTTGCACCAGGGAGTGCTATTGCCGTACGCACTCCTCCCCCTTCACTTCGGCCTTCTCCCCGTGGATGTGGTCTACTGCCGTACAGGCTCGTACCAGATGCCCTTGCGCTCATCCGCACCACCCCTCTTCCCAGTCGGGCATTGGTCCTCGCCTCTGATGTCTCCACTGGCCGGCCCGGCACTGGCCTGGCCACTGGGCTCCTCCAGTGTGGCCTTCCACTGTTGGTGTCTCAGGAGCTGGCCATCACTGGCCCCTCTGAGCCACTCACTATCTTATCTAGGTTTGTCATTATCTACTTGTCATCTGCCATTGTTCTATGGCAGTGATATCCCATCATCATCAGTCACTTGTCACAGCTGACTATATAGTGTGACACCTGGGCACATGGATCCTTGAACCGTTCTCTAAGGATCCCCCTCTGTGCTCAGGTGAGTAGTATACCTCCCTTGTATTTGATAGTCTCTAAGGATCCCCCTCTGTGCTCAGACTCATGTGAGGTTGTTGTGTGCTGTGTGCTCTCTTCCTTCGGGCTGGCAGGAGTTGCCCTTACAATATGACTCAGACTGGATTTGGGTATAAATACTGTAGCTACTTGGTTGTATTCTCCAGTCTTCAAATTCACTTCTCTTTTTGACTATTGTTTTTGGTTGATTGTCACATAATTCGAAGACTCCCCTCATACCCTCCTACCTCATACCTCTTACCCCTGCATCCCTCACTGCTATGCCCGCTATATCCTCTTCACCCTTATCATCTCACTTACCCTTCTACCAAATCATCTAGTTGTTCTCTGCGATCACAGTGAAGGGTTCATCTCGAGCAAATAGCACCAGGCCACGGGTAACGTTGAGCCTGACCCAAGCCTTACGGTAGCTACAAGGAGTGCTGCGGAGACCTTCGGGAAAACGCTGATAGGCTGGCTACCAGATGCGCTCTGCACCAGCTCTGTAAGGGCGTATTTTTGTGCTTTTACAGAGTTTACCCTCAAACCACTCAGTGTATTGTGTCGCGGTTGACAGTGTTGCGCTCAGTAGGACTTATGGGTCTACTGCCCAGTCGACGACTGTGGATAGTGTCGACGATAGCAAGGCAGTCAGACCACTACTGTGGAACTGGTCTTATGAGTCTACACCAGGCTCAGGGCCATTAGTGACGAACGCTTGGACCGCGACTATTCCCCAAAAAGGGATCTGTTGTTGCGTCGACTTCTCAAAAAGGGTCATTCTCTGCAGATGGGAACTTGGGCTGAAGGGCTGAGCAATGTGCGACGTTCTCAATAATACAACTACTACTGGATAGGGCTTGGCGTTACGAGATTGAACCAATCTTGTCGCGGCAACTCCCGGTTTTGAGTTGGACGTTTCCTCAGATCATGCCACGACGACGACTTGTCACATGTCAGGATCCACTCAATCACGGGATATTGTGGACGCGTCGTGGTGACACTTCCAAGTGTCACGGCGAGTCGCGCCCATACCCAAACACACTAAAATTGACACGGGCTAGATCCGTGAACCAAACCATGTGAGGAGCGTCTGGCGTGCCTAGGACCATACAGCTTCTTGGGGCACCCATGTTGGACTTACTTGCCAAGACATACCAGTTGGCCAATAAGGCTCCAACCGTTTTGTTTTTGTTTACAACTTCTCACAAATGAAACAGAAACGGTAGATAAACATTTATAAACTGTTTGAATCAGTTAAAACAGTTATTGAACAACACATTTTTCTGCGGTATGCAAGCTGTCTACAGATCGAAATATCCTGCTTTGATCCAAAGCTTGGTCAACATGGCCTCCTTAATCGTCGCGGCCTTGAGCGAGCTGCGCGTATCGCGGCATACATTACGGGCCTGGGAAAACAGTCTCTCGACCGAGACACTGGTCCCTGGGATAGCCAGGAAGTCACGCGCCATGCGCGAGGCAACTGGGAAATTTGAGCCGTGATCCTGTGGGTGGCCAGTGAGATATTTGTACTGTTGATCACAGACGCAAAATAAGACGCACCTTCCACCATGTCAAGGGAGACTGCTCCTCCCCTGCTCCGTAGTCTTCGACCGCATGCCAAAAGTCCTCAAGCTTGTTCTTGCTCCTCTGGGAAGAACGTGCATTGGATGATGCCGCCACTTTGATTCATGCCTGCGACGCCGCGGCTGCACAAGCTACAATCTTACTTGTGATGCTGGTCGGGTTGATGGCAGGTGGTAGCACAGCGGTTTGAGCTGAGTGAGCCTTTTCGTTATCGTATTCGCGTTTGTAGCTCTCGAAAGCGTGAGTGAATAGAATGGTGGCCTTCTCCAGCATGTTACTTGCTGGCCGTCCCTTTGCCTTGTGCTGAGCATCAACGCTGGCAAAGAATCCAGCAGCCAGCGATGGATGAAGCACTAGAAGTTCTCAGAACAGACCCTGACGTGAACACATGCGACGTACATGTGGCAATGACATTGAACTGATTCTCCTGGGCCTTGGGATAGTACTCATTGAGCTTAGTCAAACCTGCGTCAGCCGCGGTCCGAAGAACTTCGGGGTATGATGAATTGTCGCGCGCATCCTCCAGATGGGATGACATGATGTCGTACATTGGTAAGACCCAGGGAAGTGTCGGAGTGGATCGTTTGGACATCTGGAGGGTAACCGACGTAAATGGCTAATAGTAGATTAGTGGATATGGAAGCCACAATTGGACTGCCAACTCACCTTCAGCAGGTTACCTAGGGCCTCCAGTAGATCCCAATCGGCGTTATTGAGCATCAGAGAGCGGAGCTCACGCCGATCAAACACCCATGCGTCAATAGCCTGTAATCCAAGCATGTCAGTTGATTCACTAGCATACAAGGGACAGGAGCAAACCTCTCGTAAGATCATTCCGCGGGATATCATCGCTTCGGTGGAGTTCCAGCGATGACGCACGTCCCGAATGACCATGAGCAATGCAAGACGAACACCTTTTGAGTTCTTCGTGGTCGGGTACTTTGTCTGTGCAATCACCCGGAAGCGTGCACGCCGTTGCGGTGAAGAGCAGATCTTGATGCATACAAAGCGCAGCTGCATGCGGCACCACAAGTGAGAATCAGTCACATGCAGGAGATTGGACCACGCACTCGCCGTAGCGCAGACAGGGCTCGGAGCTCATCGGCCATCTCATTCATCATATCTACATCAGCATCTTCCTCTGCTGTGTCGACCGGTCCATCTGGAGCTGGCTCTGCCTCCAGTTCCGTCAGGCTTGGATCATCCTCAGCGTTGTAATGAACAGGAAAGCTCTTGCTGTGATTGTGGTAATCTTCGAGATCTGGGTCGTCGGCCTCATTGAATACATTCAGGATCTTCTGCACAACAAGATTGACGACGTGGGCAAGGCAAAAGATTCGTGAGTTTGCCGGCCCAAACTGAATATCAAATTTTTCAGCAAGGATGCGTGCAAGGCCAGCACATAGAGTGTCGTTAACGCTAGCCCCGTCGAGGGTCAGAGCTATGACGTTCAGGAATGATCAGTGTCGGATAGAGTCTGGTCAAAATGCGGCCACTCATCTGTTCGAGGATGCCCAATTCAGACAGGCGCTGTGCGAGAGCTGCAGACGCATACAGCCCCTCATGACCCTTCTCTTCGATTGGATGGAAGTCAAGAACCTGTCATAACTCGACTCTTTTTTATCTTATCATCGGCGATCTTATCTTATCTTGGCACGACTTATCTTATCACGAATCACGGCATCAGACGGTCCGGGCTAGGGGTTCCAGGGGTTATCTCTATCGATTCGAGGCTGCGCGACATATGCTCCGGAAGGTTCTACTACAACCCATGACCAGTGCTCCATGCGGTACATAGCCCTATGACTCATTAGTTGTAGATATGACTCAGACTGGATTTGGGTATAAATACTGTAGCTACTTGGCTGTATTCTCCAGTCTTCGAATTCACTTCTCTTTTCGACTTTGTTTTTGGGTTGATTGTCACATAATTCGAAGACTCCCCTCATACCCTCGTACCTCCTACCTCCTACCCTGCTCCCTGCACCGCTGCGCCCGCTATATCCTCTTCACCTTTATCATCTCACTCACCCTTTTACCGAATCATCTAGTCGCTCGCTGCGATCGCAGTGAAAGGTTCATATCGAGCAAACAGCACCAGGCCACGGGTAACGTTGAGCCCGACCCAAGCCTTACGGTAGCTACAAGGAGTGCTGTGGAGACCTTCGGGAAAACGCACCTCGGGATCATCGGGCACGTGAAGAGCTAGGCCCGGGATCTTTTTGCTAGCAAAAGAACCTTTCCTCGAGTGCTTGTACAGCACACGAATCCACCATTTTGTACCGATTTCCATCGTCATCTGGGAGTCCATCCCCTCCTCCCATCCTACCATTGTCGCCCGATCTGGCGCATCAAAACCAACCCGGACCCTCCAACCCCTACCTCGCCCTCCCGCCTCCTGGAGACGAGATCCCCGACCTTGACGAGTTACCCTCCGAACAACCACCCTCCCCCCCACCTACCACACCTGCTCCTACCATGTCAGGACATCACCGCATCACTCTCGCCGCCAATCCTCCCTACTTCGATGGCGACAAGTCCAAGTACCTGGGCTTTGTGGACGCGTGCACCACTTACATCGGTGCCTATCGGTCGGAGTTCTCGCTGGACGAGACAAAAATCCTCTTCGTCCTGTCCTACCTCCGAAATGAGAGCGGCACAAGCTGCGCCGCCTCAAGATGGGCGATGAACTGGAAGCAGCACAATTTCGAGGGCTTCCAAGGACTAAAGGCGGGGGTCACCGCAACAAGCTTCTTGGAGGAGCTTCAGAGGGCCTTTGGGGATTCTAACGCAGAGCAAGTCGCTGCCGCCCGACTCATGGCCCTTCGCCAGGGCAGACGGTCCTTTGCGGACTACATCTCCGACTTCGAAATGCTGGCTGCAGACGCGGGGTACAACGTGGTCACCTCCACCGACAGCAAGGGCGAGTACAAGAAGGGGGAACAAGACAACATCCTCATCGAGTTCCTGGAGCGCGGACTCAGCAGCGAAATTGCAAGCCGCCTCTACAACACCAGCGTTCCCCTGCCCAAGGCATATGGTGCCTTCAAGAACTGGTGTGTCAACATCGAGGCCAATGCCTTGCGCGATCAGCTGCGTAAGGCCTCCTATACGCACTCGACCCCACGGCCTCCTCCCCAATTCCGCCCTCAGGCAGCACCAGCGGCGCCCATGCCTGCTCCAACCCGACCGGCTGCCAACGAACTGGTCCCGATGGAAATTGATCGCACCCATGCCCGCAGCCGCAATATCATCTGCTACAACTGTCAGCAGCCTGGGCACATCGCGCGGAATTGTCCGGAGCCCAAGAAGAAGCGCACGTTCTTCAATCGGGCCACAATGCTGGAAGAGATCGAGAACGGGGATAAGGACAACGAGTTCCTCAAGGAGATTGCCGAGAAGCTGCGCGAGAAGGGTTTTTGAAGCGCTCCACTCCTCTAGCCAAGGAGGTGGAGCGTCCGGACTATGGACGTTTTTCTGTACTTGTTTCGATTAAAGATATGAACGATTCCCCTCATACATACACGATCTCAGACTCCCTACGTACTAATATTCATGATTTTCTCGTCGCTGATATGGAAAAAGAACGACAAAGGAAAATAGCTTTAAATAGAGAGTATTTACAGAGTAAAAAGGATCAAAAAACTGCGGATAAATTAATTTTGGACTCCTACGTATTTATGGCTCGTGGAGAAGGAACCACGTCAACAAAGACCGAAAAGGGGAGCATTGCTCCGGAGGCTCAATCCTTGAAAAAGGAGGAAGCGCCCAAGGAATCTGCCGAAACCAAGGTTCCAGAAGCACCCAAACGCACAAGGGTGCCAGATGCCGTTCAAAGGAAATTGGCGGCCGAGAGACAGAAGGGCCCGCAGCCCGGCAGACTGGCGCAGGAATTGCGCGACTACCAGGCCGAAAGGAAGAGACATTCGATGGACGTATATGTCCAGATCACGGGTCTGGACTCAGGGAAAACGCGCGGAGTCAAGGCGCTGCTTGATAGCGGCTGCAGTACCTGTTGCATCGATACCGACTACGCACGGGCGGAGAAGTTGGATATTCAAGAGCTTCCACAACCCATTGTGGCCCGTAACGCCGACAACACCGAGAACATCAGCGGTCGGATCACGCATTACGTTGACCTAAGGATGAGAATCGGCCCTCACGTGGAGACACGCACGTTCCTTCTGACGTGTTTAGGGAAAGCTCGGATCTTCATTGGTCTTGATTGGCTGACGGAACACAACCCCGAGGTGGATTGGCAGGAGCAGACCATGAGATTCAGCCGATGCCCAGAGCGGTGTCACATGAGGGGTCACGAGGAACATCAAGCAATGATTGACATGGATGCAATCGACCTGGACACGGGCACACCGGATCTGGAAGAGGGAGAATCGATCCTGTTGGTCGATTTTGGGAAGGAAGTGGATCTGCGGCTGAAGGAAACGCCGGCGCAGAAATTCGCAGAAGAAGCGGAAAAAGAGAAGGAGAGAATGACCGAGGGGAAGATTCCGGATCAATATCGGGAATTTGTCAAAGTATTCGCCAAGGAATCGTTCGACTCGCTACCAGACCGACGGGCATGGGATCACGCAATCGAGCTCACACCTGGTTCCAAGGCAGTGGACTGCAAGGTGTACCCACTATCACGCAATGAACAAGTCAACCTCGACGAATTCTTACAAGAGAACCTGGCCAGTGGACGGATCAGGCCATCAAAATCACCCATGGCATCAGCATTCTTCTTTGTCAAGAAGAAGGATGGCTCCCTACGCCCCGTCCAAGACTATCGGAAGCTGAATGAGATGACGATTCGGAATCGATACCCGCTGCCGCTGATATCCGAACTAGTCCTTAATCTATGTGGCGCCAAGTTCTTCACAAAACTTGACATCCGGTGGGGGTACAACAATGTACGTATCAAAGAGGGCGACGAGTGGAAGGCTGCATTCCGCACGAACCGAGGGCTGTACGAGCCCTTAGTTATGTTCTTCGGTCTCACAAATTCCCCGGCAACGTTCCAAAACATGATGAACGACATACTCCGAGAGTTGATCAACGAGGGCCACGTGGTAGTCTATCTAGACGATATACTGATCTTCACAGAAAACTTGGACGAACATCGGCGGATCACGAAACGAGTGCTCGAATTGCTCCAGAAACACAAGCTATACCTGAAGCCCGAAAAGTGCGAGTTCGAACGCACGGAAATCGAATATTTGGGTGTAATTATTGGACACAATTCGATGCGGATGGACCCAGTCAAAATCAAGGGCGTGATGGAATGGCCAGAACCAAAGAGTGTCAAACAGGTCCAAGCTTTCCTCGGATTCACAAACTTCTATCGGCGCTTTGTCCGGGGATATGCGGAGGTTGCCAAGCCGTTGACACGGCTGACAGGGAAGGCAGGATGGTCATGGGGTGCAGATGAGCATGCGGCATTTGATGGATTGAAGAAGAGAATCGCGGAGGATGCGGTCCTAGCACTGCCAAACGACACTGGCCAATATCGTCTAGAAGCCGATGCTTCGGAAGGGGCAACAGGATCAGTTTTGAGCCAAAACCAAGACGGCATTTGGCGCCCAATCTCATTTATTTCGCACGCACTGACCGAAACCGAGCGAAATTACGAGATCTACGACAAGGAAATGCTTGCAATCATGCTATCATTGGACGAATGGAGACAGCTACTACTGGGAGCCACGGAGACGTTCGAGATCTTCACTGATCATCAGAATCTTGAGTACTTCCGGAAGCCGCAGAAGCTCAATCGACGGCAAGCACGATGGATCACGGAGTTGGCGGAGTTTGATTTCACCTTACGACACCGACCCGGCGCACTCAACCGCAAGGCAGATCTCCTGTCTCGACGAGCAGATCACGATCAGGGCAAGAACGACAACAAGGACGTCACGCTACTGAAGCCCGAGTTCTTCCGATCACAAGAAGTCACATTCGAGGGACAGGATCAGCAGCTAATCGATGAAATCAAGGCCATTTGATCAATTGATGGAAGCGTCAAGGCGGCCTTAGAGAAGTCACTCGTCGGATGGGAGAAGGAAGAAGGGCTTATCACGTATCATGGGAAGCTCTATGTACCAAGGGACAAGGAGTTGCGGGACAAGATCATCGGACTACACCACGACACCCCTTTGGTCGGACACGCTGGGATCAACCGAACGCAGGAGATGGTGGAAAGGAACTACTGGTGGCCAAGGATGGGAAACCAAATTCGGAAATACATCCAGACGTGCGAGGCGTGCCAGCGGACCAAGACCAGAAGAGCCAGGACAGGGAGTTTGCACCCGCATGCAGTTCCAAACGCACCATGGGAAATCATCTCCATGGATCAGATCGGACCCTTGCCGGTCAGTAACGGGTATGACGCAATTCATGTGTGGTGTGACACCTTCACCAAAATGATCCATGTCGAACCAATTAGTACTGACATCAGCAGCGAAGGAGTGGCACGATTAACCAGGGACCGAGTCTTCCGCTACCACGGGATCCCTCGCAAGATCATCACCGACAGGGATTCGCGTTACATCAAGGGCTTCATGAGGGAGACGAATCGGATGTTGGGCGTGGAAATGAACCCGGGGACCGCATATCACCCAATCACGGATGGGCAGACAGAACGCATGAATCAGGAGATCGAGCATTATCTCCGCATCTACGTCAATTACCATCAGACGGACTGGTCGGAGTGGCTGGGAATGGCAGAGTTCGCATACAACGACAAGATGAACACGTCTACCAAAATATCGCCATTCTATGCGAATCACGGATATCACCCGTGGAAGGGAGTGGAGCAACGGATGGAGTCAAGGAACGAGTCAGCGGAGGAATTTGTAAAAAGAATCAAAGAAATACAAGACGAAGCAAAAGCAGCACTAGAAAAAGCAAAAGAAAAAATGAAAAAATACTACGATAAACAAAGAAAAGAAGTTCCGGAGTTGAAGGTTGGGATGAAGGTGTACATAGAAGGGGAAAATATCGAGACGGATCGACCATCAAAAAAGATGAGCGACAAGAGACTAGGGCCATACGAGATATTGGAGAAGGTTGGAGCGGCCGCATGGAAGCTGGATTTACCGGACACGGACCGAAGACATCCGGTGTTCAACGAGTCACTATTGACACCCTCTCACGAACCACCCCCCCATCGCCGAGAGAAGAGGCCTGTAGCCAAGATGATCGGAGGAGCAGAGGAGTGGGAAGTCGAAGAGATCGTGAAAGAGCGAAACGTCGGCCGAGGAAAACAGTACTTGGTCAAATGGAAGGGATGGCCGCATAGCGAGAACACCTGGGAACCATCACGTCACCTTACCCACGCGAAGAAGGTCCTGAGAGATTGGCAGAGGAAACAATCCAACCCAGACACACGCATTCGCCTCCTGCCAACTCTCGAAGCCGGACATTGGGATTACCTCATCCATCGCTACAAACCCAAAGACGAGCGCCTTCCATATCCTCAGCGACAACTCTTCGATCCGTATGAAAACGTCTTCACGCCCATTGGCCTAGTCGATGAGGACATCGACCCTAGAGAGGGGGTAATGTCATAATTCGACTCTTTTTCATCTTATCATCGACGATCTTATCTTATCTTGGCACGACCTATCTTATCACGGATCACAGCATCAGACGACCCGGGCTAGGGGTTCCAGGGGTTATCTCTATCGATTCGAGGCTGCGCGACATATGCTCCGGAAGGTTCTACTACAACCCATGACCAGTGCTCCATGCGGTACATAGCCCTATGACTCATTAGTTGTAGATATGACTCAGACTGGATTTGGGTATAAATACTGTAGCTACTTGGCTGTATTCTCCAGTCTTCGAATTCACTTCTCTTTTCGACTTTGTTTTTGGGTTGATTGTCACAGAACCACCTCCACAATCTCCCAGTCCTCGGTGATCCAGTTCGCAATCGTTCCAGCAAATGTGAACATCATCGAGCGAGTGGTCCAGGTGTCCTTGGACACGGCAATCTTTGACTTGACATCCTGGAGAGGCTAATGAGAGATGTCGAGAATAAGTATGAGTAAGTACGTACTCGCAGTGCAGACTTGATCTGATCAAGCATTGTAGCAAACATCTCTGCGAGAGTGTTTCGGACAGTGGTGTTGGAGGGGAGGCCATACTTGCAGTCAATGTACTGGAAGACACGCTTGAGGCCCATACTCTCGCCGGTAGTAAACGCCAACCCCTCTTCGAGTAGCCATGCACAGAAGATGCGAAGGAATCCCTTCTGCGACTTCCGCACTGCCGGATTCAGGGCCCCAGCAAGCAAGTACTTCTCCATGATCTTGGCTGAGGCGTCACTTGGCTCACGCGTCTTGCCCCCATCAGCAGGAGCCGGTGCGGGCTGGCCATAGTGGTTTGTTTGTAGATGCGTTGCCAGATTTCCGGTCACCGGTTTTGATGGCTCATCGTCGAAGCCCATCTACTTGCTGACCGTGCGTCGAACAGTAGAGGATCTATTGTGTCGATTTAGCATCTGCAATATCCACACGTACCTTGAGAAACTCACTTTCTGCTGATAGGCTGGCTACCAGACGCGCTCTGCACCAGCTCTGTAAGGGCGTATTTTTGCGCTTTTTACAGAGTTTACTCTTGAACCACTCAGTGTATCGTGTCGCGGTTGACAGTGTTGCGCTCAGTAGGACTTATGGGTCTACTGCCCAGTCGACGACTGTGGATAGTGTCGACGATAGCAAGGCAGTCAGACCACTACTGTGGAACTGGTCTTATGAGTCTACACCAGGCTCAGGGCCATTAGTGACGAACGCTTGGACCGCGACTATTCCCCAAAAAGGGATCTGTTGTTGCGTCGACTTCTCAAAAAGGGTCATTCTCTGCAGATGGGAACTTGGGCTGAAGGGCTGAGCAATGTGCGACGTTCTCAATAATACAACTACTACTGGATAGGGCTTGGCGTTACGAGATTGAACCAATCTTGTCGCGGCAACTCCCGGTTTTGAGTTGGACGTTTCCTCAGATCATGCCACGACGACGACTTGTCACATGTCAGGATCCATTCGATCACGGGACATTGTGGACGCGTCACGGTGACACTTCCAAGTGTCACGGCAAGTCGCGCCCATACCCAAACACACTAAAATTGACACGGCTAGATCCGTGAACCGAGCCATGTGGGGGACGACTGGCGTGCCTAGGGCCATACGGCTTCTTGGGGCGCCCACGTTGGTCTCGCATGCCAAGACATACCCGTTGGCCAATCCAGCACGTCGTATTCCAAAAGTATGACGCAGTGGGTTGACCCACATCAAAAGTATCATATGGACAATAGGGCGGGGTCCTGATCACTCAGGTCCTGTCCGATTGTTCAACTTTTCAATTACCCTAAAAGGCAACCGATCTTAGATAGCGTAGCTACTATGCAGTTGTACAGGACTTTACTAAGCATCGTCGTAGACAGTATAAGTAGCACATCGTTTCTTTGTATTAAAAAGCTTTTCCCCGGACTGTGAATCACTATCATTTCAGATTGTTTTGTACAATTTGCGTGCCGCGTGATTCCACCCTAAGAAGTTCTGCTACCCCTGCCCGGTCGCGACGAGTTGCTCCCTGAGCACTTGTAGCTACTGTGATTTTGTCATAATTCGACTCTTTTTCATCTTATCATCGACGATCTTATCTTATCTTGGCACGACCTATCTTATCACGGATCATGGCATCAGACGACCCGGGCTAGGGGTTCCAGGGGTTATCTCTATCGATTCGAGGCTGCGCGACATATGCTCCGGAAGGTTCTACTACAACCCATGACCAGTGCTCCATGCGGTACATAGCCCTATGACTCATTAGTTGTAGATATGACTCAGACTGGATTTGGGTATAAATACTGTAGCTACTTGGCTGTATTCTCCAGTCTTCGAATTCACTTCTCTTTTCGACTTTGTTTTTGGGTTGATTGTCACATAATTCGAAGACTCCCCTCATACCCTCGTGCCTCTTACCTCCTACCCTGCTCCGTGCACCGCTACGCCCGCTATATCCTCTTCACCCTTATCACCCCACTCACCCTTTTACTGAATCATCTAGTCGCTCGCTGCGATCGCAGTGAAAGGTTCATATCGAGCAAACAGCACCAGGCCACGGGTAACGTTGAGCCCGACCCAAGCCTTACGGTAGCTACAAGGAGTGCTGCGGAGACCTTCGGGAAAACGCACCTCGGGATCATTGGGCACGTGAAGAGCTAGGCCCGGGATCTTTTTGCTAGCAAAAGAACCTTTCCTCGAGTGCTTGTACAGCACACGAATCCACCATTTTGTACCGATTTCCATCGTCATCTGGGAGCCCATCCCCTCCCCCCATCCCACCATTGTCGCCCGATCTGGCGCATCAAAACGAAACCGGACCCTCCAACCCCTACCTCGCCCTCCCGCCGCCTGAAGACGAGATCCCCGACCTTGGCGAGTTACCCTCCGAACAACCACCCTCGCCCCCACCTACCGCACCTGCTCCTACCATGTCAGGACATCACCGCATCACCCTCGCTGCCAACCCCCCCTACTTCGATGGCGACAAGTCCAAATACCTGGGCTTTGTGGACGCGTGCACCACTTACATCGGTGCCTATCGATCGGAGTTCTCGCTGGATGAGACAAAGATCCTCTTTGTTCTGTCCTACCTCCGTAATGAGACCGGCACAAGCTGCGCCGCCTCAAGATGGGCGATGAACTGGAAGCAGCACAATTTCGAGGGTTTCCAAGGAATGAAGGCGGGAGTCACCGCGACAACCTTCTTGGAGGAGTTCCAAAAAGCCTTTGGGGATTCTAACGCAGAACAAGTCGCCGCTGCCCGACTCATGGCCCTTCGCCAGGGGAGACGGTCCTTCGCGGACTACATCTCTGACTTCGAAATGCTGGCTGCGGACGCGGGGTACAACGTGGTCGCTTCAACCGATGACAAGGGCGAGTACAAGAAGGGGGATCAGGACAACATCCTCATTGAGTTCCTCGAGCGCGGACTCAGCAGCGAAATTGCAAGCCGCCTCTACAACACCGGCGTCCCCCTGCCCAAGGCATATGGTGCCTTCAAGAACTGGTGCGTCAACATCGAGGCCAATGCCTTGCGCGATCAGCTGCGTAAGGCATCCTATGCGCACTCAACTCTGCGGCCCCCACCCCAATTCCGCCCTCAGGCTGCACCATCAGCACCTGCACCCGCTCCGGCCCAACCAGCGGCCAATGAGCCGGTTCCGATGGAGATCAATCGCACCCACGCCCGTGGCCGCAATATCATCTGCTACAACTGTCAGCAGCCTGGGCACATTGCGCGGAACTGCCCTGAGCCCAAGAAGAAGCGCACGTTCTTCAATCGGGCCACAATGCTGGAAGAGATCGAGAACGGGGACAAGGACAACGAGTTCCTCAAGGAGATCGCCGAGAAGCTGCGCGAGAAGGGTTTTTGAAACGCTCCACTCCTCTAGCCAAGGAGGTGGAGCGTCCGGACTATGGACATTTTTCTGTACTTGTTTCGATTAAAGACATGAACGATTCTACACATACATATACAATCTCGGACTCATTACGTACCAATATTCATGATTTTCTCATTGCTGATATGGAAAAGGAACGACAAAGAAAAATAATTTTAAATAGAGAGTATTTACAAAGTAAAAAGGATCAGAAAGCTGCGGATAAATTAATTTTGGACTCCTACGTATTTATGGCTCGTGGAGAAGGAACCACGTCAACAAAGACCGAAAAGGGGAGCATTGCTCCGGAGGCTCAATCCTTGAAAAAGGAGGAAGCGCCCAAGGAATCTGCCGAAATCAAGGTTCCAGAAGTACCCAAACGCACAAGGGTGCCAGATGCCATTAAAAGGAAATTGGCGGCCGAGAAACAGAAGGGCCCCCAGCCCAGCAGACTGGCGCAGGAATTGCGCAACTACCAGGCCGAAAGGAAGAGACATTCGATGGACGTATATGTCCAGATCACAGGCCTGGACTCAGGAAAGACGCGCGGAGTTAAGGCGCTACTCGACAGTGGCTGTAGCACCTGCTGCATCGATACCGACTACGCGCGGGCAGAGAAGCTGGATATCCAAGAACTTCCCCAACCCATTGTGGCTCGTAACGCCGACAACACCAAAAACATCAGCGGCCGAATCACGCATTACGTTGACCTAAGGATGAGAATCGGTCCTCACGTGGAGACACGCACATTCCTTCTGACGTGCTTAGGGAAGGCCCGGATCTTCATTGGTCTTGACTGGCTGACGGAACACAACCCGGAGGTGGATTGGCAGGAGCAAACGATGAGATTCAGCCGATGCCCAGAACAGTGTCACATGAGGGGTCACGAGGAACACCAAGCAATGATTGACATGGATGCGATCGACCTGGACACAAGCGCACCGGATCTGGAAGAGGGAGAATCGATCCTGCTGATCGACTTTGGAAAGGAGGTGGATCTACGGCTGAAGGAAACACCGGCGCAGAAATTCGCAGAAGAAGCGGAAAGAGAGAAGGAGAGGATGACCGAAGGGAAAATTCCGGATCAATACCGGGAATTCGTCAAAGTATTTGCCAAGGAATCATTCGACTCACTACCGGACCGACGAACCTGGGATCATGCGATTGAGCTCAAACCCGGTTCCAAAGCAGTGGACTGCAAGGTGTACCCGCTATCACGAAACGAGCAGGTCAAACTCGACGAGTTCTTACAAGAGAACCTGGCCAGCGGACGAATCAGGCCATCAAAATCACCCATGGCCTCAGCATTCTTCTTCGTCAAAAAGAAAGATGGTTCGCTACGTCCCGTCCAGGATTATCGGAAGCTGAACGAGATGACAATCCGAAATCGATACCCGCTGCCACTGATCTCCGAGCTGGTCCATAATCTATGCGGCGCCAAGTTCTTCACCAAGCTCGACATCCGATGGGGATACAATAACGTACGGATCAAAGAGGGTGACGAGTGGAAGGCTGCGTTCCGCACGAACCGTGGACTGTACGAGCCCTTGGTCATGTTTTTTGGTCTCACGAACTCCCCGGCTACCTTCCAAAACATGATGAACGACATACTCCGAGAACTGATCAACGAAGGACACGTGGTAGTCTATCTGGACGATATACTGATCTTTACAGAGAACTTGGATGAACATCGGCGGATCACGAAACGAGTGCTCGAATTGCTCCAGAAACACAAGCTATACCTGAAGCCCGAAAAGTGCGAGTTCGAACGCACGGAAATCGAATATTTGGGTGTAATTATTGGACACAATTCGATGCGGATGGACCCAGTCAAAATCAAGGGCGTGATGGAATGGCCAGAACCAAAGAGTGTCAAACAGGTCCAAGCTTTCCTCGGATTCACAAACTTCTATCGGCGCTTTGTCCGGGGATATGCGGAGGTTGCCAAGCCGTTGACACGGCTGACAGGGAAGGCAGGATGGTCATGGGGTGCAGATGAG